GCCAAGAGAAATTTCAGGTTAGCTATGCAGAGCTTGGGAGCACAGGTTCCAGCATCAGCTTCCTCAAGAATTCCTGGAATTCCTGTTGAAAGATTGTGGAAGCTTATGAAGAAGCCTTTGGTGCCACGTGTGCACAGATGGTTCCTTGCGACAGTGCCATACAGCTGGAAGATTTGTCTCAACCTTTGAAGCCTGCAGATGCGAGCAGCTACCGCTCAGTTGTGGGGATGGCTTTGTATCTGGGGCGTGACAGACCAGATGCAATCGTTGCAATCAAAGAATTAGCTGGAAAGATGAACAGACATACTTTGACGTCCCTGCAACACCTGAAGAAACTTGTGGGCTATCTGAAGCATACCGGAAATGTTGGAGTCAAGCTCACTTATTCAATGCCTGGTCAAGGCAAATACAAGACTTCTGCTGAGAAAACGTGGATCCTCGAGACCTACTCAGATGCAGACTGGGCTGGCAATCGGGTTCACAGGAAATCTACACCTTGTGGTATTCACTTCTTGAACGGCAGTTTTCTTTATGGAAACGCAAGGACACAGAAAGTTGTATCGCTTTCATCATGTGAATCAGAGCTCCATAGCATTGTTTCTTCTAGGTCAGATGCTATCTTCCTGCGTAGATGCCTGGATTTTTTGCTGGAAACTGCAGTTTTACAGGTTCACTACACAGATAGCAGCTCTGCGAGACAGCTTGTTTCAAGGCAAGGGTGCGGAAAGATCAGGCACCTTCCAGGCAAAGTGCTAAGGGTGCAAGGAAAAATTCATGATGGTGAAGTTCAAATGGTTCAAGTTCGCCACTTCCAAAACGTCGTTTGCTTGCGTTGATGTGTGAAACTGGAATGGTTTAAGTTGAAACCATGGAGCCTGTGGGAGAATCAGAAAGTGCAGAGTTGGCTGAACGTGCAACAGCTTCCAGAAACATGAGCAAGCAGGGCGAAGACAGTCATGAGAATGACAATGCTGATGGGCCTTGGGCCACTTGGCAGGAGGAGTCCTGCAATGCGACTGAACAGCATAGAGCCAGTGATAACTTCTGGATTGCATTCTTTCTCTTTGCACACATTCTTTCATGGATGGTTCTTGGTGCAATTGCGTTTTGGTTTTGGAGGAAGTTGGACCGAAGGTTGTATTACAACGAGCTGCAACAGGCCCGGGAGCGCAACAGGAAAGCCTCAGTGATATCCAAAGGCACGTGCGCAGGGTAGACAATGACCTGCGTGCTCAAGTCGACCAGTACTCCATCGAGACTGGCGTGATGGAGGACATGGTGAGTACAGTTCACTTTGGACTGGTGGAGGTAGGGGGCTTCGTCAGGCACAGAGACCACGAGACAACAAAGAACCTCAATGCTGGTGCAAGAAAAAACCAACTTTGTGATCCTCAACATGAGACAGTAGGCACCAGACAACACCGACACTGCACCAAGGAGACCCAATGATGTTGCTATGTCATCAGCAGCAGCCAGTGCAGTAGCCATGCCATGTTCTTCAACTCCAGCTGCGGCACTGCTGCCCCAACTGTTATGGCATCAGGTGTAGACAGAGGGAATAATGGTGAAGAAGAAACAGCAACAGATGATGAGAACATGGATGAACCAGGTGGTGAAGAAACGCGAACAAATGAAGATCAGTTGACAGCGCTTTTTGGAGAAATTTGAAGGGTTTGATCAACGAAGCTTTGGCCTCAAGTCGATTTGAGGACGCAACAGAAATTCAGACAGCCGTTTTGGTTGTGCTCAATGCAGTGGACCAAGGCTCTGGATTGGACACTGAGCTGGTGAGAGCAATCCACAATTGCCTCTCTTCAGAAAGTCAAGAAATCGTGGAGATGAGGTTACAGCAGCAGTGTACCGTGGCTATGTGAATGATTTCCAGAGTTTGTTGCGTTGAGAGTTTCAAGCCAACTTTTGGTGGATGGTCATTCAGAAAATGTCTGGGTGACGGTTTGCTGTTGGTGGGATGCCGGGTAATCGCTAAACCCTATGGAAGAGTTTTCTTTTGCAGGGACTTTCCAAAATGGAAGAGTTCCAAAGATGTCCACCGTGGTGAGCTGAAACTAACAAAACGGTGAGGAGGAGTGCAAACTTCTGATGTCAGTGCTCATGCGGTGGATGACATGTACAAATCAGAGAATGGTATGACACATAAATCGAGAAATGTAACCATTGGGACAGCATTGCATGATGAAATCATCATGGACTTTCAGGCCCAAATAGCGCAGTCAAAACATAGCGCTTGCCGTGCTTTCAGATTCTTTGCAGTTTTGACATAATGTTTTAGTTGCTGAGGTTTTTCAGGTAGTTCCGTCCGGGTTAGCCAAATTCCGAAACCCCCAATCAAGAGGCAGTGCTTTTGAATCTCACCAATGTTTGTTTTCCCCGTTGTTCCTGCAACAGCATGTGAAATTCCCATGACACTGCCCCACGGACATGAAATCTGAAATTTTCATCATTGTTTGTGAAAAATTCTGGACCATGCAGCATCAAACGACGGCGCCATTCTTCAATAATTCTGACATGGTTTCACTGGTTTCGAACATCCGCAAACCACGCGTGCACTGTCTGACTGGTTTCTAGTGAATGCGCGGTGGCACCACTTTGGCAACAAAACATGTTTTATCCTTCCGAATGTTTGCATCAAGGTTTCGCAATGCCAAAAAAATTGCACACAAGGACACTTCGAAAGATGCTGATATTTCAACAGTGGGGCCATGCAAGGAAGTGATTTACGAAAACATGGTGGTAGCAACTGCAAGTGTGACTGGTGACGCATGCTGTTTTTTGGCAGACAATGTAATTGGTATTGTTTTGGACATGTGGTGATTGCGTTTTCTCAACCTTACCAAAGTGTGGTGGTGTTGCTAATACATCTCCAAGCACATGCAAAGCATTAGCTTGAGATCGGAATGGATTTGCAGGCAGAATAAGCAACTCGACATATTTTGGTACTTGAACGGACCAGTTGGGGGGACAATTTTGAAGTCAACAGCAACATGTAGTTTCGTTACTGTGTGTTCCGTTGCGTTTATCATAGTATTGAGTCATTTTCTCCAATGATGCGAAGCAGTCTACCAGGGACATGCGGTGTTTTGCGGATTTGAAAAAAATGTTTTTATGTTCTGTTGAATGCAACGTGTTGTTTGAACAATTTGTTGAAATGTGGTGAACCATTCATACCAGGGCAATGTGTTTTACATCAATCCTTGCACGAATTCCGAATCTTCAGGAAACAGTGAGACAAATCAAACTGTATATGTTTTCGAAAATCAAACAAATGTTAAAGTTCCTGGCATTGCCATTATATGTTCCTCCTGGCAACACAATCATTCGATCAAACAACAAACACAAATTAAGAATAATAATTCCACAAGACGTCATGCTAAATTGACAACACATGTTAAGAAACCAACATCAATATGGACATGATTACCATCAAAAATGCGATGAACGCCGAGGAATTCACGGTCCACGCACACAGACTAAAACACAATGCACAGGCGTGGGCGCCAAACGGCAAAACGTGTTGTGGTCAATAGTAACAGTGATTCGCAAACCTGAAATCAAAACAAATTGTGATGATTCTTGGTGATTCCATTTATTGATTATATATTACATATTGCTTGTGATGAGATGACATCAAGGGAAATCGTTCTAGATTGTTCAACCAGAATTGAATTGCTTGCGTAGATGCTTCATCAGAACCCCAAAGGTTTGTACATGGCACAGATTGGCGCGGTGGAGGATTGTGTTCGAATCATTTTGTGTATCATAACTATCATATCACCTCACATTTCATCATGTTTTATTTTGTTTTTGTTTTATGTGATCTACCTCTCCTTCTGGTCCTATTTGGTGATCTATGTCATTTAATGCGCCCATGTGGGATCAACGTGCAGTTTTCACATTTTTCAGGGGAAATCCAATTGAATTGACACTCCAACGCTGCTAAAGTTACGGGAGGCCGCTCCACTAACCATGATTTTTTTTGGGACAAAACTCACCCACAGATGGAAAAAACCACCTTTTGTGGATCATTTCCATTTCGGAAAAACCGGTGTCCCGCGAGGATTTGGCGAAGCTTGGTGCCTGGCAACCCAGTGCAACCCAGGGCACCTGGTGGAAGGCTTGCAGTATCAACCATGGCATTAATGGGATATATAATCACAATATGAGTACTTAACAATGAGTATTAAATGGTACGTATCAATATATACATTTCCATTTGATGGGTTTTTTGATAGTTAATCATGGGATATGTAACTATGAACGGATTAACTTTAACGAAGAATGGTTCCTGGAATTGGAAAATGAGGATGCAGACTCTTTCTCCAACTAGTCAATGTCTATGGTTGTGGCACATCACTCCCCTTAGGCTTTTGACCAAGCTTGTGCCACTTGTGGCCTATGGGCTGGGGTCCCCAGGGGTGGAAGATGAATCAAATGGAACCATCAACGAATGGGTCATGGGATATAATCCCATCCAATACTGAACACCATTCCGCAACCATGGTTTAGGGTTTAGGGGTTGAAACCACATGGCATTTTTGAATTTTAACAACATTGAAAGAACATTAATGACGAAACATGGCGTAACATGGTCATGTTTTGGTCCTGTGATGCTATGTCTTAGAGCACAGCCCAGCTGGTTTTAGTCTCAACCCAGCTGTGACGACTCAAGGCCATTGCAGTTGAACTTCGGACCCCCAGACCTGGCTGTGGATGGCTGGGAGGCACCAGCTGGGAAGCTTGGTGTTGCTGCTTGGGGTGCAGTTTCAAAGAACTCATTTGACAAAGAAACCATAGCAGCTATAGCATTAGTGTGGGAAATCTCAACTTATCCCAACTTATGAGGCTACTTAGTAATTACCACGATTGTATCAGTTGTATCTGTTGACAACCCCGACTGCACCCTGAAAGTACGCGATCCCAGTACCATTGTTGGAAGCAATTTCCAGCAGGTTGACGACAGCAGATATGTCAGGCAGCCTTTGCGACCGTCACCGGGACGCCTTTTCTGCAACTGCCCGGGGCTTTTCCCAGCCGGGGACGGATGAACAAAAAGTGGGAACTCACCAGCCAGGAGCCGAAGAATTTAATTGGGATCCACAGGTCCTTGTTTTTTTCTTCTAGGATCATTTGATTGGACCGCCACCACTCTGTATTTTTCATTTTCAAAGTAGAAACTTGTCAGTATTTCTATCTGTATTGGATGGTATCCTCAATATCCCCATATTAATTTATTCATTGGTCTAATTCCCATGCGTACTGCTTAAGACATCCTTTCTTGTAAGAATGACTCTCCTGGTTGATCCAAAACCACTGACCCAGTCCACCACCCAGGAACTCTCAAGTGCCTCCAGCCTTTGGCTTCTGGGGAGGCGACTACCAAGGCTCTTCTGAGAGTTGGGTCACCACCAACAAACATGGGAGATATGCAGCTAAAACCAAGGTGATAATGCAGGGAAAAGAAAAACATGAACACGGATCCAGCTCCAACCAGCTGCACCTCATTGCACCTCCCTGGTTTTTTTTGGTCTTGATGGCGAGGGTTTTGATGAGATATCGATAGATTTCGGCTGTTAAGAGAAAAAACAGGGCTGAATCCAGACACACCTAGGTTGATGTTTCCCTCACAGACACAAACAGAAACGGCAGTGACTCTTACCAATCAAACCCTTGATATTTGGATGTTGCGGATGTTCATAGCCGCATGCCCATGGAAAATCTTTTGTAGGCTTTGACCCATCTCCAAAATCTCCACCTGAGCTGTTGGTTGATGATCAGTTTGGGGGTTATACTACCCATTACTACCCAATGTATTGATATATATATATAATATGTATATTGGGGATTATCATACTCCATTATGGGAATCCCGTTTTTAGTCAACCAGAATAATGGAATCACAGAGGATTTGGAACACTGCTCAGCTTGGTGGTCAAATCTTAAATTCGGAGGGCTATTTATTTTAGGAACTATTTTTTGGTCAGGTTTATTTTTAGGGTTCCTGCTTTTCTGCTGTTCCTGCTTCTCCGCTTTTTGATTTTCCTGCTTCTCTGCTTTTCTGCTTCTCCGCTTTTTTGCTTTGTGCTTTTCCAGCTTTTCCTGCTTCTTTGCTTTGCTTTTCTTGCTTCTCTCTTTTCTGCTTCTCTGCTTTTCCGCGTTTTGCTTTTCCTGCTTCTCTGCTTCTCTGCTTTTCTGCTTTTCTGCTTTTCTTCTTCTGTGCCTTTCTACTTCTACTTTTTCTTTTTCTGCAGTCATGCGTTTTTGCTGCTCTACTTCTTCTTGCTCCTCTGCTTCTGCTTCCTTTCTTCACCGTTTCTTTGCTTTTCTATTTCCTTTGCTTTGTTCTCTCCTGTTTGTATCCTCAATGAAACCCTAGAGAAACGCTAGATGAAACCCAAAGACACCGACACCCTGAAGAAATCCGAATAAGAAACCCAATATACAGTAAATGAAACCTACAGATACCCTAAATGACACCCTAAAGAAACCCTAAACGAAATCCGAATGACATTCGAAAGGAACCTTAAAGAAACCCTAAAGAAACTGAAAGACACCCTAAATTGACACCCTAAAGAGACCCTAAATGACACCCTAAAGATCCCTAAAGAAACCGACATGAACGTTTGAACTACCAACACGTAGCAGATACCATGCAAGATGAGAGGTTGAAGTACCAAAGAATATAGCAAATACCATGCAGAATGAAAGGTCAACATGCCCAAATGTTCCCAAATGTAGCAAATACCATGCACACCATGACAGGTGAAAAAAAACCAAACTGTTGCAAAAACAAGGCATATGACATGCCAGGTGCCAGGTGCCAGAAATCCCAGAAATCCCAGACCTTCACCCTTTGCATTTCGCGGTGAAGTGCAGGTGCAACGCATGAAGCTGGTGACTCCGATGCATCCAGCAGCTTCAGCCAACTGCCAGATGGCGCGTGCGTCTAACTGGACCCATTTCCGTGGGGATGATACTGATGATACCCAGTTTGACTGGAGATTTGGAGGACATCAATGGTTAGATAGCCAGAGGTTGATGGTACGAACAAAGGTCTTGCGTTTTGGTGGAGATAGAGGCAGGCTATGGGGCACACATTTGGAATTATCTAAAGGGGAACCTTAGGGATACTCAGTCCCTGATCTTCATGGGAACTCCTAAAAGGATGTTCAGCAAGCACCAACTTTGATGGTCAAAGATCGGACATGATTAGATTTGCAGGCCAGACCAATCTGTTCCAGATTGCGACATCAAGATTTCCGGGTTCCCTCCTCTTTTTAATGAAGTGATGCAGGTACCTTTGCCTCATGTCGGTCCCCATTGGCAGCTACAACTTGGAGGTCACATAGGGCTCATCCAGCGTTGCTGACCAGTTCGCTGATGACTATCCGGATCCTACTAGCAATTTTGTTGATCGGGAAGATTGTGATTTAGCATGGTATACCCATGTGCATCTCACTCTATAATATACGCAGCCAATCCCTGGGAATCATATCAAGCAGGAGAAGCACCTTAACAGTGAGGTTTCTGGACACTGTTGAACCAGAATCACTCTGGCCTTCTGGCGCAGGTCTCTGTGGGCAACCACTCAGGGTCCGCCTCCTCTTGTTTGGAATTGGAGTCTGGTTGGGGCCACCCAGTTGCTTGGGCGTTGACCTAGAAAGGGGTTGGCACAGCCTGGTGTGATGACAATTTTGGGTTCAAAGTATCTACCCGTTGCCCATCGACTATGATTATCATATAAGAATCACCAACTTAAGATTGTGGTTTGAAACTGAAGCTGCATCTTAAATTCAGGCCAGCTACAAATTGAGTTGTCACTGGAAATTGACCATGATATGTCAAAGTCCAATTGACAGTGATGATCGGAGTCCCAATCTCACTCTCACTACATGAGTTTCAAGCTCAGTGACAGGAAAGAATCCCACTTGTCACATCTGCAACTTGGGTTTGTGTCAGAATTTGAAGAACCGCCAAAGTGCCTGGTGAACCAAAAAAAATACGTATCAGAGTCACAATTTTGTGGGTATCTCGTATTTTTGGTCATCATTGGGTATGCCCAAATATCGATTGTGGCAGACTATATCACCAGAAAATTTTGGGTGCAATCCCCAAAGGCACATACAGTAAATTATCCCATGAATATTCCATGAATAGACCATGAAGTGGTTGATTCTAGAGCCATAAGGGCCACAACCTATCAATTTCCTCACAAATTGGTATTTTCCTGGGTATTTTCGAATTTTTTCCACGTGGGATCTGGTCCCTTTGAGGTGCCCGCATCTACGATGGCAGCACGGCTTCGATCCAAAAGGCTGCAGCGGTGGTGCATAAGGAGGCGCCACTGGGTTGATCATCTGAGCAGTGGCTGCCAGCTACCCTTGTTGGTTGATGATGATTTGGTTAGTTTGGGTTCTTAAGCTACCCTTCACACAAACACATACACACAGATAGATATATATATATATAATATTCATGTATTTATTTATTTGTTTATTTATTTATTGATTTATATATATATATATATACATATATATTCGGAATGATCATCATTGAATGGGGGGGTCATCATTGCTCAACCAAGCATGAAAAACCTGACTGTGCCAGGCCTTAGACAGTTGCCTGACCTTGCGCTCCTGCGTAGCGGATGCGGTGGTCAACACCTGGAAGGTGGCCGAGTTCTGGTGGAACATCCCCATCAGAGGTTCAGAAAGTCATGTTTTTTTGGATTTGAGATGGTAAAATGGCTATGGATCAATACCTGTACATACCATTTTTAGGGGGATGAACATCCATTTATCAGCTATTTTGATGTTCACCAGGGGTACAAGGTTTTGACACACTGCCAAATCTTGGATGAACTCTTGCCTTCTCTTCTCTCTCTAAGCCATGATGTTCTCAGGATGGGAAGAGGGCTTTTGGTGAGATTCCGAGCCACAGCCAATTTTCTGCCAGGTGGAAGAAATCCAGTGCCACAGCAGCTGTGCTTTTTGCACTGCTACGTGGAGGACTTGGAGCAGTTCAACTAATACGTGGTGGTTTGGATTCCCCAAAAAATTGGGGAGAAATCCTGGGATTCCAAAGCCCCAAAAACCGCAAAGTCATCGTTTTTGAGTTGGAAGAAACTCTACCGTGCTGTCCATTCGGCATGGGGCAGTGTTTTTCCTTTAGTATCTCGGTGGGTCGCCAGGTGCTGCGGGAGTTGATTTTACCCTACATCCAGTGGAAAGTGTTTTAGAATGTTTTACATACTGCCACGGTGTGCTCTGAAATGTTCTCCATAGCCACCAGCTTCCAACACAGACGGTAGGTTGAAGGTTTTGTATCATGCTGTATCTTTGGCTTTGTTGGTGATAATCTGATAAACCCCCACGTTTGAATCTATATCTCTTCAGTGGTCGAATGTTGATGATTAGGACATTTGTCAGAATTTATCTATAATCAGCATCCCAGGGTGCCAAGCGCTAAGCTCCCAGACCGCTTAGGGGCGAGGCTGATTGTGCCATCAGCTGCAATGATGGGCGCAGTTTGACCTCCGGTTGGGAGGTCTCAGAATCCAGTAGATCAGCACTAGGCATTCTGCCGATGGGTGTCCAACTATACCATCTGGTTATTTAACATAGCCATGGAAAATCACCAATTTTTGATAGGTAAACCATCTATTTCTATGGGCCATCTATACCATGGCGAACTGTTAGTCATAACCAGAGGGTAGTATATTTCAATCCTATCAGGAATCCTCCTGGGTCTATGCCCCTAAGTTAACTCATAAATTGGATGATTTAAGCCAAACAATATGAGAAACACTTGGGAGTCCATTGGAAACCACTTTTTTTGATAGCCATATCAATCCCATCTCTTGAAATGCGACAAAGAATGGTGGCTAAATCAAATCTGCATATCTTTGATGCTAAAATGACCGCGTTTTGATGGCTCTCCGCAATTCTTGGAAGCTTTCACTTCTAATTTTCTGCTTTCAACCGAGGTCAGAATGGTAGCTTCTGTCTGGCCCGCGTCCCCTATGCACCAAGTAGTCTGAGCGCCAGCCAGGCGGGCATTGTTCATGAAGAGTGTTCTGGATATGTTTTGGTCTCCATAATGATGCAAAAGTTATGACACGTTTCGGGAACCCTATAGTTTTTGGGAATCATGATGGTTTTTCCATGTTCTTCCATGTCATTTCCCATAGAATGTTTATCTTATCCATATATATATATATAATTTCATTTTTTTTTGCACATGATGGTTATTACCAATATATCACCCATATTCCCCATGTTTTATTTTTGATTAGTGGTTTGCTTTTCAATCTTTGGGATATGATGCAGCTCGGGAATGTCGAGGTGACCAACAGCAGTCTCCGGCTCTCTTGGGTGCGGGGACCTGGTAACCTGTGAAATCCGACCCTGCTGAGGTTGGTACTTCAAGACATCCTCTGAAACTGGGGTGGTTTCATAGGAAAGATGACCAGCCTGGTTCATGACCGACGATGACCAGCAGCGGTTGCGACGAAGCAATGGTTGCTTCCATTGGTCCCACCTATTGGTGCCCACCTTTGCTGAGTGATTAAGGGGGTCACCACAAAAAAAGAGGAAAACCAGTGTTGAAAACGGTACCTCCATTGTAGTAACCCAAATGGATAGAAAACTTGAAAACCGTTGGAAACCGATAAATGGTTACTGTAACTATCATCTCTGACGTCCTGGAAAGACTTTTCGGCATATCTTCCGTCTTCCAAGGTCTCTGGCTTCTCTGGAGGCGAAGAAATCACGGATCATCGCGTTCTTCTGGAAGGCGGTCTGGGATTTCGAGATCCTTCGGTCCTTCGGGTGGATCCCTGGGTCGATTTCAGAATTGTCACTCCTCAACCTCTACAGTTCTACAGTTCTACAGTTCTACATCTCTTTCTCTGTGCATTTTTCAGCATATTTTTCAGCTCTCAGCGAAGGCGTGGAGTTTGGAAGGTCCGAAAGCCAAGCACATGTTGGTCCCCAATGACGAACTTCGATATCACGGCTGCTTCTCGTTGGGACCCATGGCTGAGGACTGGTAGCACTGATGCCTTCGTGGATTTGAGCGGACTTGAAGGTGGCGGGCTCTGTGTTTTTTGAGCGGGAATTGAAGAGGGATGGCTAGAAGATGGTAGCCCTTTTCTGTATGGAGGAGTTGAGAATCGATCCACATCATTTTTGTGATTTTTTCCCTGTCTGGGTATTGATTCATCCTGATCCAAATCCTTATGGCTACCCCATCTTGAACCCCCCAAAATGTGACAGCCCAGTCCACCTTGACAGGCGACACGGTCTACTCCTTCCAGGCGATGCTGTCATGAAACCAGCATCGTTGTTGCTTATCGGTTCTGCAGTTCTGCATGTAAGATGTAATGTCAACCCCGGATTAATAAACCGTTGTTTATTAATTAGGGGGGTACTCCTCCAATAGTCATAATCCAATACTTAAATGGTACCTTCCCAATTAAATGGCCTAGGGGTTTATTAATCCAGGGTTGACATTAAATCATTCTGGGTCGATATTCGTTAGGGCCAGATCTCCGCACCATTTTTGGTCCTGCTAAACACCCATGATCGACTACGGGCAGTGCGGCAGGTGCAAGCAATGAGTGCAGCAGGTTTTGGAGACCTGAGCGACTTGGTTATCTTGGTTTTGGTGGTTCAAAATGTGACAAATACCCTCTGGTTATGACTAACATAGCCATGGTATAGATGGCCCATAGAAATAGATGGTTTGAATGATGGTTTACCTATTAAAAATGGTGATTTTCCATGGCTACTGTATGTTGAATAACTAGATGGTAGCGGTGAAACCAGTGTTTCTTGCCTCATTTTTATAGGACAGCGCTGCACTGGTGACTAGGTGAGTCCTTGACGGTTCGCACTTCACCAGTCTTGCCATGGGCTCCACTGGAGCTGGTGGTGATGGCGGTGGGACAGTTGGGATTGCCCAAAGGGCTGTGGGACTCGGTCTGTGGATGTTCTTTTGACGTATTTTGGACGTAAAGCATCCAGTTTTTTTTGCAATCCTGGGTATAAAACTAAAACATCGTGAGAAACATTTGTTCTAGTTTCTTCACATTTTTTCCAGAATTCCTGGGAAACGAACGACCGCATTCAAGTTTCGTTGCAATGTTGATTCGTTCCAGACTTGAGTTTGCTTTGTCATAGCTCAGGGCGCTCCAGAGCTGGGTTTCTCTTCGTTATTCAGTGTGTAGATATGAACATTCTGAGGAAGGAACATGTTTTTTTTTCGGCTTTCAAGCTGCCACAGAATCACCAACTGCAGGGAATTCCCTACAACAATTGGCATGATGCGGGTCTGGATAGATTTTAGAGCCCTCAGCTTACCCTCAAACCTGTTGGTCAACCATGGGGTCACCACAAACCCCGCCAGATGGATCTGTTTCAGGAACCATCCACTTTTTTTCAGGTTTAAGAAAAGTTTTCGGAAGACATCATCCATTAAAAACTGCTGATTTTCCCATTCAACCAATTAGACCTTTCATTTTGATCAGAGATTCCCAGCCATGTTTGGTTCCCAGCTGGATAGCCAAGGTATTGGGCCAACATGTCGTGGTCCACGCCCAGCTACGACGGGGGTGCTAGCATCGTGGGGACACCCAGCGATCCCGTTGGGGGGCCGCCTGGGAAAGGCGACGTGGATGTACAAAAAACAGCGCCGGACAATGATCTTGGGATGTTAGATTAGGTTAGATCATATTAGATTATTAGATACTGTGGATGGTTGCGAAATCCGAAATCCAGTTGGTAGATGGTTTATCCCCTTCCAATCCCCATTATCAGTGTTTCATAGTTGCCTTTCATTGCCTTTCATAGTTTCCAACTGGTGCAGGATTGCTTCCATTCACAATTACAGCAATCCAGCGAAAGCATAGATTTATCAGCGGCAGCGTCTTGCTTGCGAAACGCGCTGAGATCTCTTGACAGGTAGGTTCGAATGTCGCTCCAGAGATGGCATGCACGCTATGACTAAATATGGACATATCATACCCTCTGGTAAACTAACATAACTATGGAAAATCACCATTGTTGATGGGTAAATCAACTATTTCGACTGGGCCATGGCTTCAATAGCTATGTAACAAATTACCAGAGGGTAGATGGCCAACCATATGTTGCCAGGGACCCACATTTTGAAACTTCTTGGCCCACCGACCTTAGGTCGGATACCTGGTATCTGCAGGAGATCTCAGCTGGAGCACTGCTATCACGGAGGTCAGGGACCTGGGTTTTTGTTCACAAGAGAGAAAGTTGAGACGTGGCAAAAGCATGCAAAAGCTGGTTAGTGGTTTCAAAATGCATTGAGTATATATATAGAGTAATATATAATAATATATATATATATATATAGATGTATATATATATGAGTGTATGTATATATAGTTTATTTTGATTTTCAGCCCTTTTTTGACAGGATGATTCCAAGTAGCTCATTTCTTTGGGAAGGATTCCCGAGTTTCAGATGCGGTCCATGGATGTTGAGGGTCGAACATAGTCACCCAAGGTGGTGAGTTGGGTCACCCCGCAGGTAGCTGCCGATGGGTTGCAGGGTTACACCTGGTACACCTTTCAAGTGCGAAGCTTGGTGATGCAACGCACTGTGGCCACAACTTGCAAAGACTGTGGGATTGGTCAAAAGGTCACATTCCGATTGCCATACGGTCGCTGATCTAAGGGTTCAATTGAAATCAACTGTACAGGCATGCCTCCATAGAATGCTTCCATATAACCGCCCAATGTTGCTGGCAAACATGTGGTTCAGACATTGTGTTACCATCCCCAGACAGAAGTGAGGGAATTGCCCAAGAATGGTGGATACTTAGATCATCAGTTCCCGCGACATTCCGCGACTCTGCATGGGTGGACCTCTCTCATGGAAATCCATTCTGTAAATTCCTTGGTGCTCATCTTGGTGACTTTGTTGCGTGACACGGACACCAGACTACACGAAGCCGCTGACTTGGTCAATGGCCATAATTTGGGTTGTCAGACATTTCAGCATTCAAACGCACCCGAAGATCATATCATAATATATCACATACATCCTTATATATCCAAAAAAATCTGGTTGGTGGTTTGGAACATTTTTCCCCACATCTTTGTGTGGGGTTCTTGTTTTTGGTTCTGTATCCCGCCGTCCGCCTCCTCCCGGCGTCGTCTCTTGCTCACACATAACTTGTCCACACACAACTTACTCACACACAACTCACACACACACACAACTTGCTCACACACAACTTGTCCACACACGGCTTGCTCACACACAACTTACTCAGACACAACTTGTCCACACACAACTTGCTCACACAAAACTTACTCACACACACACACAACTTGTCCACACACCCACACAACTTGCTCACACACAACTTGTCCACACACAACTTGCTCACACACAACTTACTCAGACACAACTTGTCCACACACAACTTGCTCACACAAAACTTACTCACACACACACAACTTGTCCACACACACAACTTGCTCACACACAACTTACTCACACACAACTTGCTCACACACAACTTGTCCACACGCAACTTACTCACACACAACTTGTCCACACACAACTTGTCCACACACAACTTGTCCACACACAACTTACTCACACACACACACAACTTGTCCACACACAACTTACTCACACACAACTTGCTCAAACACAAGTGCGTGGCAGGCGTGGCACTTGGGGACATGTAGCAGCACTTTGCGTGGCAGGCGTGGCACTTTGAGACATCCACCTTCGTTTCACGTGGCAGGCGTGGTACTTGGACACATCGACTTCCAGTTTGCGTGGCAGGCGTGGCACGTATGGCATCGGGCTGGCTCCGGCGGCGTGCTTGGTTCTCGCACTTTGCGTGGCAGTAGCTGCACTTTGCGTGGCAGGCGTGGCACTTTGAGACATCCACCTTCGTTTCACGTGGCAGGCGTGGTATTTGGACACATCGACTTCCACTTTGCGTGGCAGGTGTGGCACGTATGGCACGTATGGCATCGGGCTGGCTCCGGTGGCGCGCTTGGTTCTCAGGTGTCGCCGTGGGCGCCGCGGCTTTTTGCGTGGCAGGCGTGGCACTTGGCGACATGTAGCTGCACTTTGCGTGGCAGGCGTGGCACTAGTGGCACTGGGCTGGCTTTGGTAGCGCGCTTGGTTCTCAGGTGTCGCCGTGGGCGCCGTGGCTTTTTGCGTGACAGGCGTGGCACTTGGCGACATGTAGCTGCACTTTGAGTGGCAGGCACAGCACTTGGCGACATGTAGCTGCACTTTGCGTGGCAGTAGCTGCACTTTGCGTGGCAGGCGTGGCACTTTGAGACATCCACCTTCGTTTCACGTGGCTGGTACTTGGACACATCGACTTCCACTTTGCGTGGCAGGCGTGGCACGTATGGCATCGGGCTGGCTCCGGCGGCGCGCTTGGTTCTCAGGTGTCGCCGTGGGCGCCGCGGCTTTTTGCGTGGCAGGCGTGGCACTTGGCGACATGTAGCTGCACTTTGCGTGGCAGGCGTGGCACTTTGCGTGGCAGGCGTGGCACTTTGCGTGGCAGGGGTGGTACTTTGAGACATCCACCTTCGTTTCAATGCCGAAAAAAAAAGAGCAGCAAAATCACATAGCATGTGCGCGCGCAGGGTCCGATGCTGTCCAGCGGCTGCAAACGTTTAATGCCAGGTACCGCCTTCATTGGCAGACCCAACACTCTGGTGCGTCGTGATCTTTGATCGTACTGTTACTTCTGAAACTGACAGTCTTCATGATGACGTCGCCTTTTCTGTATAGATATAACAGCCTGTTGTTTTGTGTTGTTCTGCCAGGTACCGACTTCATCGCGCAGATGCTGCCGTTTCTGAACATACTGTTCGAAGCAGTGGTCTCAGCAGTAGACATGGGTTTGCTTGCAGATTTGGAACGCTATAAGAGCTGAAAAAATCGATCTCTGCTCCAGGAGCTCTCGGCTCACTGTTCGTCATTTTTGCTGTGTAAAATGTCTTGCTCTTTTGCCGGTATTAGAATGGAAACTCACTTTACGATTTCTCTGACCGCCTTGCGCCTCTTTCGCCAATGTATGGAAGAAGCGTTTGGAAGCCCAAGGACAATTGACAATCAGATTTCTCCTCGAGATTGGAAGGAAGCATGGATGTCATGTCTTGAGTGCTTGGAGCAGACAGAGGGCAGAGTATGACTTGGAAGGCGATGACTGGATCATCTTGGCCCGGGTCAGACGTCTTCTATGCGTGGCCTCCATGGACGACTGGTCCGTTCTTAAGGTTATGGAGAATAATGCGGCAGTGTTGCAGCTGGAAGCGGTCGTGCCACACGGAACCTCCTGGCGTGACTTTCATGCCTTCGTCGGCAGGTACCATAAGACTCAGTTTGAAACTGCTGTGGGCGACCTCGGCATGCTGCGTGCCGCGTGGGAGTCTGCAGCGGAGGTGTCGTTGCCATATGCCGCCTGGCTTTATATCGCAGAAGTGCAACTGGAGGAGACTTTCTGGACTTTGTGACCGTCCGCGGTTGTCCGTAGTTGTCCGTGATGTTCGATTTTCAGCACAAGGCTCTACAGGAACCTCAGAAGGAGCGTGTTGGCAAGAAGAAGAAGAAGAAGCGGGGGCAAGAAGCCAAAGAAAGCAGAGGAGCCTGGCATTTTGGGCGGAACCAAGGTGTGATTTGAAATGAACACTAGTGAAACCACCAGCAAAACTACGTGGTAGATGATAACATTTTGCGAGGGAGTTGTCCTACACCACTTTTCGCGGCTCAAATCATTTTGGATCAAAACAGGAAAAGCCGAGGCATGTATAGCCAACAACTAGAAAGTACCTGGTACATCCTTAGATTGGAAAAAGATGATCTATTTCTAGAAAACCAGGTTTTTGGGAAACGGATTGGAAAAAAGTGCTCTAGACCACTTTTTACCGTTTGGATATGTTTTTGTATTTTTGGGGTATTTTTCCAATTTCGGGTAAATGCATGATTTCAAAATAGTTTAAAAATCTTCAAGGAGTTTTTTCGAGGAAAATCATAAAAAATGAAAAATATCAAAAAGCACAGAGCGTAAAAAAAGTGTTCGCGTTCAAGAGCGTTCAAAATGCGTTCGAAAAGCATTCAAAAACCGTTCGAAAAACCGTTCGAAATTACGTAACATTTTACGTAAAACGAAGGGATTTTCAAGATCAGAAATGGCATGATTTCGTCTTTTTACAAGGAAAAGCATTACAGGGCGTAAAAAAAAATTCAGAAGCATTGAGGGGCGTAAAAAAGCGTTCAGTTCGGATTGGAAAAAAACCGTTCCAGAGCTGTTTTTTTCTTGAAAATGGTCAAAAACCAAGTTTTTTGAAAACGGATTGGAAAAAAACAATCTAGACGGTTACCAGGTAGTGGAATATGGATGAATATGGAATATTAATGGAATTTTAATGGAATATTGATGGTGCATTAGTGGAATATTAATGGTGCATTAATGGATTTTTAATATTAATAGTCGGATGGGATAATAAGGGGAATATTGATGCACCATTAGTGGAATATTAATGGAATATCGGAATATCAATCATTAATGGAATATTGATTATTGATGGGATATTGGGGATAATGATAGGAATATCAATGGAATATTGGTTATTAAAGGAATATTGATAATCGGAGGGGAATATTCATGGGATATTGGCAAATACAATCCCGCAATCAAAGGTGGCTGGATGTTTAGTGCGCTGGATCTGTTTGGGTACCTTTCAGGTAAATCCCAGGGGTTGATCAGATTTCTGATTTTCAAACATGGCCAGAAAGCGCCACATTTTTTCGGCCAATATGATTTGGGGTGATGAGAAATGTGGCGTTTTGCCAGGCAGCCTGCCTGATATTCACGACATATCAGAAGCCCCGAGCATTGGGTCTAATGTGTTGGGGCTTCTCATTGATGTTAGGGCAATGGGATTTCTAGGATTATCATCTTTAAGGGGGCATTAACATCAATCATTTGAATTGGAGCGAGGCTGCTCCGCCTACATGGGGGCAGCCAAGCTGGAGGGGTGGTGGGTGCCCGATAGGCGGATTTACCCTGTGGATATTTCACGTAGGGAACTGGAACATAACCATTTTTAACAGGTAAATCATCATATTTATCATCTATAAATGGACATTTTCTATAGCAAACTGTGAAACAACCAGACGGTAACATTATTTAACCATCAAAAAATAGGGGATTCATGGTGTTAGCTGGGTTTGCAATGTGGATAGAATTGGAAAATTACCTATATATACATGGGGGCACAATTGGGGATGTAACCAACAACACGCAATCAATAATGTGGGGATATACTGGGGACTTAAGGATATTGATGGGAATGTAGCCAACCATCATGGCTTCTGAACATGGGGGATCTCTCCGAAACTGCGGAGATTTTCATGGTCCTCGGGGTTTCCAACCAGCAGATTGTGGGGGGTACCCATGTCGAGCAGCTTCGATTAGCTGCCAGGTCTTTCAATCTTTAGGCCTCATTTCCAGCCAGGCTGATCACTTAAGTTGCTGGTTCAAGAGGTAATTTCGACCCGGAAAAAGGGTCATTGTCCTGGAGTAAAGATGTTTTTGTTCGTTTGGAAATGGCTATACCATTTGTACACGTATGCTGTCTATATGTATATATAATACAGTGTATAGATACATTTTTTGGCAATCTTGATATATTTTACCACATCTTGGCCCTGCCCACGTGAGGTCTCCCAAGGCATGCAAACGGCAGCGGAGGGGGTGATTTTTGATTCTGACTGCCCTGAGAAGGCAATGGAAATCTCCCGGTAAAAAAGGACAATGTCATAGCTGTAAAGTGCTGTAAACCTCCAATTTTTGTTGAGGATTTACCAGCTAGCCACGTTTGATGACACCGGAGGGTATGATTTACGGAGTCAGAGTATGCCATGCAGCAACGGTCTTTTTGGATTGGGTTCATGTTGATCCTATCATGCTAACTTGGCTAACAATAAACATAACTTGGAGATTCGAGTTTAGTATGTTTGGTCATTCCTGATCATTCCTGTATCTGTTGACCCGCCGTCTTTGTGTAAATGTGTCAGGTTTATGACTACACATATGGCATTTCATGGCGCTTCAGGGAGTAACACAGTTTTGAGCCAAAGAAGTGGTTCTGCAGGTAACGGCACATGCCCTGCCCAAATGGTCACAATGCGCACGTGAGCTGAACGACTCGCCCCCGGTCGAAAAATGGCAGGAGAAAAAATCTCGGAAGGAGAAGAAAGATGAGGTACAGACCAAGTGGTGAGGGTCTGGTGAGTATCGCAAGCCTCCTAACTGGAAAACACATATCAGGGCAAACATCATCTGGAAAACAATTTGATTGACGCGCCGTGCGAAGATCTAGCGCCTAACGCGGCCATGTGATCGACAGAAAAAAAGATCACGTTCATGACAGATCAGGACAGTTTCTGTGCAATCGGTTGCCGCTGTTCTTGTGTTGCCTGCTTTCAGTGGGAGCTACATTACTGCACTTGCCGCAGTCGCTTGGCAGGTCCAGCAGGCTGCGATGTCGTCATCTTTGCTAGTGCTGCTGCAGCTAACGGTGCTCATGTATCTGTTATCAATCTGTGCTTCTGCAAAAAAAAGTCTTCATGACAGCCGAAGTTTTCTGTTGTTCTGCCAGGTACCGACTTCATCTCCGTCTTCATAACGCCCATGCCGCCGCTCCGCTTGTGGAAAAAATAAGCGTGCCTGCGGACCTACCATACAAACAGAAATAAATAAACACATACACACATACATACATACATATATATATATATATATGCATCCATACATCCACCCACCCATTCATCCTTACATGCATACATACATACATTCAAACGCACATGCATACAACACAACTTGTCCATACACAACTTACTCGTACTTACTCTTCCACACACAACTTGCTCCACACCAATCCTTCACCATCTCTTTTTCCTTTCCTGCTTTCCCTATGCCATCTTTACCTTTCTTTTGCTGCTTGTTGGAAGAAGTTGACATGTGGGGTTATCCGGTCCTTCAATTTATTTTTCCATATATTGGGAATTTCATCATCCCAACTGACGAACTCCATCATTTTTCAGAGGGGTAGGTCTACCACCAACCAGATCATATATATCCTTATAATATAGAACATTTTGATTTTCCCCAATAATTGGGATGATGATCCAATCTGACTTTCATATTTTTCAGGGGGTAGGTATACCACCAACCAGATCATATACATCCTTATAATATATATATATATATAGATCCCAAAAATTAAGTCTGACTTTCATATTTTTCAGGAGGTAGGTATACCACCAACCAGATCATATACATCCTTATAATACATAAATAGATCCCAAAAATAATATACATCTACTTGGTTGAAACCACCAACCAGTGATATATCCCAACCACTTATATATCCCAAAAATGATTATACAATCTTTCGATAGATAACTGGTTGGCTTTATTATTATATATATGTTTCCAGTTATATATCCCAACCAGTTGTATCTTTCCACATCTGGATACAATCTTTCCAATCATAGATAATATATCCAAAATTGATTGTATCCCAAAATATACCAATTATATATCCATTACATATCCAATTATTACCAGATATACCATTGGATCTGGATTATTACCAATTATATCCCAACCAGTTATATATCCCAAAAAATATTATACATCTAAATATCCATAGATATCCCAAAAATTATTATACAATTTATATATCCAGATTGTATCCAAAATTGATCTCCCATGAATTCCACCAGGTGCAGGCTTTGACCTCTGCCGGCCTCGGTGCCGTGAACGCCACGACACTTCGAACCCTTGAGGCGGATCGCCAAGAAAACGCCGGGGAGAAGACAACTGCAAGTAGATATGCTATATCTTCTGGATAAGAGGATATATATATATATATATGTTATATATTATATTATATTATATTATATTATATTATAATGCATTAGTATACGTTGATATACATTGATATACATTGATATACATTGATATACATTGATATACATTGATATACATTATGACTAATTTTTTTTTAGAAACTTAAAGTACGTATACCTGCGACTATAACTATGAATATTTTCAGACACAGAAATCTAGTATATTTTCTGGATGATAAGTTACATGATATAGTATACACTGTGACTATACCTATACAAACACAGTATATGCACTTATCTATCCAGAAACATTGGTAGTGGTAGTAGATATACTTTGCTTACACGACTTGGGCTGTTGGGGAACATAAACATGGATATATAGTATATGTGAAGTACATGACATCGTTCTTTTTCAAATGCAACCAGTGCAGATGGGGATAAACCGACAAGAACAGGCATCGATATTATGTGCATATCACGGTATGATCGCTATGTGTGTGTATATATATATATACACATACACATTGTATATTTATATATATATATATGCATATACGTGCATATGTTTGAGGTGCATATGTTTGACCGATAACATCTAGCGCCCAGTTCTGATGAGTATTAAAGGCGATCAAATTTACGCGTAGGCATCATCAGGACAAAAGACACATATGGCTTGCTGGCTCCAAAAAAGCTTCATGCAAGCCGCAACTACCCTCAAAGTTGATGTAGATTTCCCAAGATTGTCCATTCTGTCCTTGGATTTTGATTGGCTTTATCCCAAGACTCGGGGGTTAATACTTCATTCCTATAGCTGACAATCCCATGTTTCGTGATATCTGACTCTCAGTTTTTCTGCTACATCCCCGTCGCCAGTTTATTTTATTTCCAGTTTTCTGAAAATAACTAATGCCATTATTGCAATTATTATTACTGTGACTATTATTACTATTATTGCGATTATTACATATTATTACTATTATTATATACTATTATCACAATTATTACCATTATTACTGTTATTACTATTTTGATTAATTGCTATTATTATATACTATTATTACTATTATTGTACCATGACCTTGCATCTCGATCTCTAGATTGACTGCGTATGTCACCATGGCTGCGTAGCGCCGGCCCGGTGGCAGGTCCCTCCGGGCCCCGTGCAGCAGCTGCAAGTCGCATCTGTGGAACAGTGCGCAAGGGGTTCTTCACTTCCTGGGCGGGTGGCGACGAATAGACAAACGGGGGAAATTTTCCGCAACCGCAAGCAAGATGAAAATGACCTGATGTCAGCATGTCTGAAATATAAAGTAGCGACTTTTTCAATACGAGACGATCTTTGGGATGAACCAGCTAGGATGCCCTTGGATACCCATATGTTTTTGGTTCTTTTCAAGTCCCAGTCGCCTTTAAGGTACACCATTTCTCTGCAGTGGTCTGCACCTCTCTTGGATGGCGGAAGCAACATCTCAGGTTGGAGCTGTGGGTGAGACGGGTTGCGTCAACCGTTGGAGCAGCAAAAAAAACTTGTCTCCAAGAAGAAGATATTCAATTTGCGCAGACATGTTGTAAGAAAATAATCGATGAAGACCAACTCAATGGAAAGGGGGCCACCTCTTTCCTGGAACCAATGTAGGGGATCCCAGAGGGCGGAAGTAAGTGAAAGGAGGTAGCAATTAGCAGGTGACAAACCAGCAGTTTTGGTCTACCCGCTATCCCTCAGACGTCAGGCTATCGGATGCCGGGTGCCGAGCTGACGCCAGATATCTGTAAGGACAACACGCTTCATTTCTAAAGAACTTAGGTGTTGTAGCGTGGTTGAAGCGGGCAAAAACTTATGAGTTCTTTCTGGTGAAATCTGGTCAGACGAATTACGGTTGGATGAAGATTCCACCCGTTCCACCCTAGAGACATCCACTGGTTGGTCCGCTAAGATGGTGCGAAGCCATTGAAGGCGCAGGACTTTGACAGCTCGGCAGTGAATGGTTTTTAGATGCATGGCCTGCATGGCTGAATGGTCCGAAAAAATTGGGGGATTGATCCATTCCATCCATTCCATCCATCCATTCCATCCATTCCAATGGGTTGGAAAATGTTGGAAAATCCATCCATCCATCCAAAAACCATTCCATCCATGGATTTTTTTTCAGAAACAGATTGCCATTTTTTCAGGTCACCACTGATGAGTCGGAAGCATGCGAAGCCCGGCCAGGAAACTTCACTGCAGGTGTGCTGCCCGACGAGAACCTATCTGTACGACTCGAGGCAGGATGCAACGGGTAATTTTAAGACCCCCCTTGAGACATCGGTATGTCTGATTTTGATAGGTGCTGTAACCATTGGGCCCAGGGTTTTTCTGGGAACCTATTGATCCATGCCCGGTTGACACAAGTAATGAAAGGGTCGCCTCCAAAGGTTAGCCAGTCAGGCCCATTTCCAAAGAAGAGTTAAATAATTTGTCCTGGAAACCTGAAACAGTTGATTAGTTCAGTGCCAATCAACACAGTGTTTTCCTTATCTGAGATTCCTTCCTACTCCAACGTGGCATGTTGATGCTCCTTCTGCACAATTTGCCCATGTTGGATCTGGCGCTCCAGCCGCTTGAAAATTTATAACTTTGTTGCATGCTGAGTCTCTGCTGGGTTAGGATGTTTGCTGCCAAAACTGTGGCTGTTTGGCCTTGCAGGTTCTGCATGGCTACACACACTACCAGTCGTGGCCTCAGATCCGACCTGGACCAGCCTTGAAGCGGGCTGCTTTTGCCCGTACCCACGGCAGAATTTGGGTTCCTCATTTGTTGCAATGCCTGTTAGATAATCAGAGATTGGTTTCGTTCGTCTTAGACCGTTCACCCTTTGACCGAATCAACATTTGTTCGAATCGAAAACTCTACCAATTTTGAACAAGAAACCTGACTTGCATTTCTCGGTTGCAGTGGTTAAATGACCCATTTTTAGTTCATTTGAATAGGCATGACATGGCATGAGTCGGATCAAGTTTTCTCACCAGACCAGTCATAGCTGAGGTGCTTCGTGGTGGCTTCAAATGCTTTGGGCCTTGGCGAGTCAGCCTCCATTCAGGTGCGGGACACTGGGTGCGATTGACCACAGAACGAGTTTACGAAATTGTTAGTAAAGCAATAGTACACCACCACTCATTTTTACCTTTTTCTATGGGTGGTATAAACCATCAGAATGTAGGTGGTATCTTAATATCATTACTAACATTGATTATATTACGAAAGCCAGCTAGCTGGCTAGTTGCTGTTTGCGAACGAAGTGAGAATAGGGGGTGTGGGGGGGGGGGTTGCCGAAAGGGAACGAAATCTCGCCGTGCCCCTGTGTTGAGCGCCAGAAAACGGAACATTTTGCTGGATTATGTACCACTAGGTAATTTGCTGACGGTGGGGTATCGATTCCCCCTAGGTCCGCCTTTTTGGTGGCCGGAGAGACCATGAGGATGTATTGGAAAAAACAATGAAACTGCAGGAAAACATGATAACGATCAGAGGAAATCGTACAAAACCCCCTGGAAAACGGACGAAAACGGAGCGAATGCTAGGAACAAACCATGCAAAATCTGTTGGAACATGGAGGAAACCGGAGTGACTGCTAGGAACAAACTATGACGATGCAGTAAACATGTTGGAAAAAGACAGTGAAAGTGCAGGAAAATGCGATAACAACCAGAGGAAATGGTGCAAAAACGATCGGAAAATGAAGGAGACGGGTAAAACTCTTGGAAAAATACATTGAAAATGCAGCAAACCAGAGGAAATGGTGCAAAAAGGAGACGGGTAAAAATCTTGGAAAAATAGATTAAAAATGCATGAATAGACTGAAAACCCACGAAGAGGATATAGAAACTGCAGGAAAACATGATAACAATCAGAGGAAATCGTGCAAAATCCACTGGAAAATGCTGGAAAGATACAGTGAAGGAAAATGTGATAACAACCTGGCAGGAAATTGTGATAACAACCAGAATAAAGGGTGCAAAATCTGTTGGAACATGGAGGAAACCGGAGCGACTGCTAGGAACAAACTATGACGATGCAGTAAACATGCTGGAAAAATACAGTGAAAGTGCAGGAAAATGCGATAACAACCAGAGGAAATGGTGCAAAAACGATCGGAAACTGAAGGAGACGGGTAAAACTCTTGGAAAAATATATTGAAAATGCATGCAATGCAGGAAACGAGAGGAAATCGTACAAAAAGCCACAGAGGAAAGCGGTGAAAATGGTAGGAAGCATGTAGTAAAAAAAGCTGGACAAAACACAGAGAAAACCTACAAAAGAGAAGAAAGTAACCACAGGAAACGGTAGAAAAAGCAGTGGAAACTGGAAGAAAAGTTGTGACAATATTTGGAAAACGGTGTACAAGCTAGGAAATGCTTGTAACAACTACTCCCCCTCCTTTTACCGTAGTGCAAAAAAAAAAATCTTCCACGTTAACTAAAATGACAATTCGGAGGTTTACTTCCATGTTAGTTGCAATGGGAAGGGGGTAAACTGCAAATTTGTGTTCTTTGGATCTGAGCCCTTTTTTTTGGCTAGTTCTTTTTGCCACGAGTTCCCCGGGAATCCTGGGCATTTGTTGATTAACGTAGAAATTTTGAATTTTTCAAGGTAAAGCTGGGAATGCCTCCATTTTTTAACAACCAACGATTGGAACGGATAACTTACATAGAAATTTGCTACTTGAAGCAGGATGTGGGCAGTGCCATGTTAGGGAGCGCTCAGTCCTCCTTTTACCGTAGTGCAAAAAAAAATCTTCCACGTTAACTAAAGTGACAATTCGGAGGTTTACTTCCATGTTAGTTGCAATGGGGGGGGTAAACTGCTAATTTGTGTTCTTTGGATCTGAGGCCTTTTTTTTTTGGCCAGTTCTTTTTGCCACGAGTTCCCCGGGAATCCTGGGCATTTGTTGATTAACGTAGAAATTTTGATTTTTTCAAGATAAAGCTGGGAATGCCTCCATTTTTTTACAACCAACGATTGGAACGGATAACTTACATAGAAATTTGCTACTTGAAGTAGGATGTGGGCAGTGCCATGTTAGCGAGCGCTCGGTCCTCCTTTTACCGTAGTGCAAAAAAAAACTTCCACGTTAACTAAAGTGACAATTCGGAGGTTTACTTCCATGTTAGTTGCAATGGGGGGGGTAAACTGCAAATTTGTGTTCTTTGGATCTGAGCCCTTTTTTTTTGGCTAGTTCTTTTTGCCACGAGTTCCCCGGGAATCCTGGGCATTTGTTGATTAACGTAGAAATTTTGAATTTTTCAAGATAAAGCTGGGAATGCCTCCATTTTTTAACAACCAACGATTGGAACGGATAACTTACATAGAAATTTGCTACTTGAAGTAGGATGTGGGCAGTGCCATGTTAGCGAGCGCTCGGTCCTCCTTTTACCGTAGTGCAAAAAAAAATCTTCCACGTTAACTAAAGTGACAATTCGGAGGTTTACTTCCATGTTAGTTGCAATGGGGGGGTAAACTGCAAATTTGTGTTCTTTGGATCTGAGCCCTTTTTTTTTTGGCTAGTTCTTTTTGCCACGGGTTCCCTGGGAATCCTGGGCATTTGTTGATTAACGTAGAAATTTTGAAATTTTGATTTTTTCAAGATAAAGCTGGGAATGCCTCCATTTTTTAACAACCAACGATTGGAACGGATAACTTACATAGAAATTTGCTACTTGAAGCAGGATGTGGGCAGTGCCATGTTAGCGAGCACCAATTTGGCAGCATTGATTTCGAAAGGTTGCATCCTCAATCGCTCGGACATGACAGGGGTGAGAAGATAGATGCAAAGAAGAAAAAAATGATGTGGCGGTCAGTCTGGGGGTTTTAGGGATCGCCCTAGAAGGATGTAAGAAGTTGCCAACCTGATGTCTGGACCCTCAAGTTACTTCCACGTAAGGGTTTTTAGTCTCAGTTTTCACACTTCCATGATGAATATGTTACTGACATATCTGATGAGCTACTTCCATGTAAGAGATTCACGGTCAGTTTTTCTGCATTTGCTGGCCCGGTAGCCCAGTTTCACTTTTTCCCCAGGAATTGGACGTAAACGACTTCCATGTAAACCGACAGGTTTTTCCATCCTGACTTCCACGGTAAAAGGACCCGGTGTAGAGGAAACGATGTAGAAAACAGTACAACATGGAGGACACGCGTGAACATGCTAGGAGGCATGTAACATGTTAGAAAAATACAGTGAAAACCTAGGAAAATGTTATAACTAAAAATGCTTTAAAAATATAGTGAAAATACAAGACATTGCCATGAAACCTTGGAGCAAGATGCGGATGGTATAGGAAAAAAGATGTATGAGTTGTAAGATTTTAGGAGTTGCATGGGAAAATGTGTTTCATGGTAATCTGTGTGAAGTTAGAAAAGTGTGATTTCGTTCACAGAGTAAGAAAAATAAATACAATCTGCAGATTAGAGTATTTATAATGCTTAAAGCTGTTTGACGTTTTTTGGTGCCTCCCTGATTCTGGTGGTTTTGTGATAAGAACTACAAAAACGATCTACTGGTAAACGGAAGGAATAGTCTTTCCGGTTTAGAACTGAGTCGACTGTCAAGTGATGCATAGGCTCCAGGCCTCTGGTTATTGTCACAAAGCATTGGAGTGAAGATTGCGCCCAGGAGCCACCTAGGTTAGGAGACAAATGCTGTAATATCATTGTAAGAGGCCGTACTGAGAAGGCTGAAACAGAACTAAAAGTGAATCTTGTACTAAAACATCGAGAAAGAATTTGAATCTTCTAATGGCAATGACGGGAATGATATGCATCTGTACGTCCGTGATAGTATGTGTGCCTTTTAAAAGGGATGTTTGGCGAGTGTGATAGCTGAGAAGATTTTCCGGGATGCCAAACAATTATCTCTATCGATGTCAGGGATGATGCTATTCCGCGACATTTCCTGTAAAATACCTATTTTCCAGACCCTTGGGGGTGGGGGGGGGTACCCAGGTCTGTAAATGGCCTAAATATATATACTTTTGATTTGGACTGCATGTTCGCCACTGTTCTATATTTCCCGTGGGTTTTGCATTGTTTTCCTCGATTTTCATTCGTTCTTATACCCTTTCTTACGTATGTTATAATATTGTCTTGGGTTTGCACTGCCCATTTTGCGAGTAGAGCTATGTTTTGATTTCTCACCGTACGGCCAAAATGTTGCGGAACTTCGCGGAGAAGCATGGACCACGATTCTGGGAGAAAACAATTTAGACTTTGAGAGGTCACATGACCACTGTTCACACAAAAAAGCGGGTATAATTTATCTACAATAGGTGGGAGCAAACTTGCGCTGTTTTAAGATAAATGAGCAACCAAAGGCGGATTTACGGAACTTGAGATAGAATTTTTCACAATGCCGCAGTACATTGTAGGAAACATATTTGGATATAGAAGTTACAAAATCGTGGAGTTTACCCTAAAAAGGTCCATTTAATGATTGAAAAAATATGACCCGATAGCAATTGTTTATGTTGGGGCGCTTCATGTTTGAGCCATGCCATATGGATGAGGTGGAGTTTCACGTGCCCCCGCGCGAGTCAAAAAGCAAGCGCTGGCTTTCGTTCCACCCCTTCTCAGGTATATATATATAATATATATATATATATATACATATTATCTTATATACATATTATCGTGTACATATGTATACATATATATATATAGATATACGCGAGGGGCCTCAGGTTCTCCGATACCCTCAGCTGTGTTTGAGCTTGAAAATGTAAAAAAACAGCTGGTGCCTAGGTAATTCGCCAATTTTTCAATAGTGGCAACGTCCTTTTCAACATCATGTTAAACGGATCAAATTTTTTCCGTCCGTTTTAAAGCAGAGTCATCTTGTGCCATACATTATGTTCTCAGAAGTCAGAAATCGCATTTTTTGGTGTAAAATGGTGAATTTTCATTGTATAGTCATATCGTGGTCATGTAAAATTGAGCAAATGTACTGTGTTTTCTCAGGCATTTTGCGTCATGGTCATTTTGTACTGGTATTTGCAATGAATTGGCAATGCGTAGAAAATTGCAAGTGCTGACAGTCAGGCGTTTTTTCAGTGTTTTCATTGTATATACTACAGTGTGAACACTTAATGTTTTGTCAGGAGCTTGCATCTATATATATATATATTTACAAATATACCCGAGAGGCCGCATCAACGTAGCAGCAACGTAACATGAACATGACGCTACCATGCCCCACCCCACCCCACCCCTCCCATGAACGTAGCAGCAACGTAACATGACGCTACCATGCCCCACCCCACCCCACCCCTCCCATGAACGTAGCAGCAACGTAACATGACGCTACCATGCCCCACCCCACCCCACCCCTCCCATGAACGTAGCAGCAACGTAACATGACGCTACCATGCCCCACCCCACCCCACCCAACCCCACCGCTTCTCCATCGGAGAACCTGGGGCCCCTCGGGTATATATATATATAGATATCCCTCGAATTTTCCATGCCCTTCCACAGCAGACACTGTGCTAACGCCATGTTCACATCAGGAGCGCACGTTGGCGGTGCCTCCCTATCAACCTGGGCAGCCGGTGCTTCTGCAGGCCTCTGTGTGCTGCAAATGGTGACCTGATTGGATTAAGGGCCCCACAGGTGAGTTTGGATGGATTTGTGAAGTTTGTGGTGGTTATATAATATGTATATAGTACAGTATATAATATATTACTACACATGTATTCTACAGTTAGATGGAATAAAACACGATAAAGAACCAAAATACATAGCGGACATGGGGGGTCCTTCTTATATATGGGATTTGTGTGTCCGATTTGTGAATCTCCTCATAGATATCTGACCTTGGTCCAAAGCAGGCGGTGTGGGTGTGGGTGTGGGTCAACATTTGAGTCTCTAACCGTCTGGCGCATGTGCCCAGATTTGATGATAAAGTTGATAAAGACACAGACGCAGGGTGCAGCACTTTGATTAGTGGGAATGTAGTACAAACAAGTTCAAACCTAGTTTAATGCACGAATCCAAGAGTAAAACACATACTCTCTCGTGCATGCAGGTGACTTCCATATCTCCATTATGGAGATCAGAGAATGCTGACCACGAAGACGTTGTTTTCGCTTTGGTGTTTGTCTCTTCTTGAAGAACTGCGTTTCGTGAGAGTGGGAACCCCGACGCCGCATTTCCGTTTCTTTTAATCCCTTCATCAACTCTTGATCATTTATACAAGTTGATGTGCAAGTTATATCACTTATAAACCCCGATTCCAACTTATATCACAGTTAATCCATTTATATCAGTCACAGTTCAACCCACTTATAAAGCCCCTATCTCATCAACTCTATCTTCTCTCCTGGGCGAAACTTTGGGTCACGACTCTTTCACGTGTGGCAGGAAGACCTGCATTTCGTGGAGATCAGCTGGACAGCGGCAGAGGTCCTGAGGGGTCCTGAGGTCCCAGGTGTCGAGGGGCGCCACGAAATTCAGGATGTGTCATTTTTGTGTCCCCCAAAATGACGGGTTTATCCACAGCCATGGCTATTCAGAAGGGCAAAATGAAGTTTCGAAAACATGAGACAAACTCAAAGATGAACTCAGAAATGCGTAAGTTATGATTTATGTCAAAGTTCGAAAGGAAATCGTGGATTTTGGGCTATTTTCTTTTTTTGTTCTGTCTTAAAATGGGCCATCCAATTCCTGCTAAGCTACAGTCTCTGAACTTTGGCGATGTGTTGAGGGACTCTCGACCTAGGTTCGTTTAACCAAGGGAGACCGTTTTGAGACCTGCCCAGAGATCAATTCCTTCAAGACTTGGAAGCTTTGCATGGCACCTGAATGAATATATATTTCATTGTCAGAAGTGGGTCAGTAACTTCCTCCAAGTGTCTCATAGAAAGCCGCTGAATCGGTTGAGGGGTTGTCTACTTTGGTCTCCCGCAGCCCAGGGTGACCCGGGCGCAAATCTCACAGGCTACAAGGCGCCAGGGCATGGGGGCTGTTGAAGTGGACGACAGCTATTCGTAGATATTGACGTACACGTTGTCTATAGTATAGCTCGTGTTTAAGATTGTGCCCTGGAGTTAAAAGAAAACTTGTCAGCCGTTATCAGCTGAGCTACTGTGCTTCTATTGAAGATGCGTTACTGTATATGCGTTTGTCATAGGCAGCCCCAGAAAGGGTTTACCTCAGCCACTTTGAAACAGTGAAAGTACATGAAAGTACAAAATGCTCAAAGGCTAAACATGCAAAATTCCCAAAGAGTCGGAGAGTTCCATAGTTTGGTAGTCCCCCACAAATTCACACTATGCGCATCTCATTTGTCCAGAGACATCTGCCCAATCGTTCGACTGCGCCGCAGATTTATGGTCGAACTGATGGAACTTGGTATGTCGTGCAGCGCTCAGCGTTAGCAGTCAAGCTGCAGACAGAAGGTTATGGTTTGAATGGATGGTGAAAAATCAATCATGATGAAACACCATCTACGATTATAGGACACAGACAAAAAATCAAAGGAGAATACAAATCTCTCGAATTGATTAGTAAATGAGAGGTTTGGTCATCCAGCTTGTTATGATGACATCTCCTGCCACTGATCAAGCACCATACAGTTGCAGCGTCAGAGCAGCTAGGTCCACAGCTGGTACGCAGAGCTGATACTGATTCACTCGGAATATCATCGGAATACCAAATCGGAATATATCCATACTGATAATTTGGTTAATTCATATATATATATATATACTGCTTTATTCGCAAAGGTTAAGCAGCAGATTTGCCAAAATCGGAATATCATCGGACGTGCGAAATCGGTATGGCTATGGGTCCATGATTTTTGACATTCCCATACTCTATGGACTCCAGGATGAATACATACATACCTACATACCTACGTACGCACAGACAGACAGACTGACAGACAGACTGACAGACAGACTGACAGACAGACTGACAGACATACATACAGATATGTACTATATATATATGTACTATATATATGTACTATATATATATGTATATGTATATGTATATGTATATGTATATATATATGTATATGTATATGTATATGTATATGTATATGTATATGTATATGTATATATATATATGTATATGTATATGTATATGTATATGTATATGTATATATACAATACATACACATATCTGCCCGAAAATCCCCAGTTGGCCTAGTGACAAACGACACCCATCTCTGTGATGATGCCAGGTGATCAACGACACCCAGTGCACCAACACCACTTGGCCAGGATGCCAGGTGAAATGTTCGGGATAACCCTTGGAAGATCTTGGAAGAATGGTTATAGTTTTATAACTCCTGTAGTAATAGTTATAGTAATAGTATTGAAATAGTTGCATAGTCATAGTTATAGTCATAGTCATATGTTTTTCTTCTTACGGGATGTATGATATATCTATATATCTATATTATATCTCATATGTTCGCAATGTTTGTTCTTTTTCCAACCATGCATTATGCATACGAATGTGTTTGGCGAAGTGGGATGATCCTGTCCTGAATGCAGACAATAGCACCACTTCCGCAGCACTTCCGCGAGTCCGTCTCCGCTTCTTTTTTTGATGTTTTGGCTTTGCATCTTACCCCACCACAACAAGGTGTGTTTTTGTTGTTGTTGTTTGGTTTTTTGGCGTCATTTTTTGTTCCATCCGAGGCAAATCTCTAACCTGGAGATGTACACGGCCGCTGGGAGTGGAATTCACATTCAGAGGATCTGTCGGAAGGGATGGTCACACATGGTCACACCTCACAACCTCAATGGTAGAATTTTGGGTCGACTTTCGCCGTCGGAGCTATGGGACACGTACGAAACCACAGGAATCCCACATAATTTCTTATGAGCTGCATACTTCAAATGCTCATTTATCTGTACCTTCAGGATTCCTTGAACTCACCCAATTTGTAGATGAACCATAAATATCTAGGAATGTTTTTAACCATGTAAAAGCCCATAAAAAGCCGACACCATCCAGGATATGTCGATGATTTCCCCCCAAGGCCTATGATTTCGCCGTCGCGGGGCTGAATGACGTGGGGGAAGGTGAGCGGAGCGTGGTGACCTGGGCCCTGCTGTGTTGGGGAAATGCTGTGATCAGAAACAAGATTGATAATGGGATATCTTGGAGATATATGGTGGATATATCCATATTCATATATATATATACATATAATATTATATATATAGAGATTTATTATTTATATATATTATATATTGTAATATATGTACATATACACATCATATTCATTGGAAGGGTGGGTGGATCCCCATCCTAGCTGTTCGCGCCGAGGCAACAGCACCGCAGCCTTCACCGCAGCGGTGGGCTTGCCACATCCGCTGGGCAGCCCAGTGACAAAACCCAGATTTTATGGGAATTTTATGGTGATTCACAGGGATTTTATGGAATTTTATGGAATCTGATTTTATAGGAAATGTGATTTTATTGGAATTTTATAGGATTTTTTGGTGATTCACAGGGATTTAACCAACAAGAATGGGGATATGAATGAGAAATACCGGAAATACCCTCTGGTAAACTAACATAGCTATTGAAAATGGTCATTTTTAATGGGTAAATCCACTTTTTTCTATGGCCATAGAAATAGTGGATTTACCCAGCTAGAAAATGGTGGATCTTTCCATAGTTTTTTGTAAACGTTTGCCAGAGGGTATATGGATGTTCATCATTCCCACCCCAAAAAGATGTTATTTTTTGGGTTTTGATCCATCCTCATTTGGGATACTGATGAAACAAATCATCCAATTTTTCCAAGAAATGTGGCCCCAGTGATCCTGGAGGCCCTCTGAACCTCTCCTGAATGCCAGCCACTCCTCCATCGAGGCGGAACGTGATGGGGGAAATCAGACCCCCCCAAAACAAGGTCAGAGAAGGTGATTTGAGAGGCGTGTTTGATGTAGTCTTCACTTGATCTTTGGGTGGGAATGTTTAGTGAGGGGAAGACCCACTCAGAAATCATGGTTCTCAAAGGAGAACAAGCCCGGGAGCCAGGCATCCTGGACCCTGGTGAATGATGGGGGCACCAATGTCACCGGTGGTGACCCCAGGATTTTCCCCCTGAAGTGATCCCTAAAACCCGAGGAGTGATCCGTTTTGGCACCCAAATCACCCCGGGACCAGATGGTCGTTTGCTGAGGATATGTGATTGAGCTGGCTGCAGGTGCCTCGGGGTCTAAGTGAATGCCCAAAATTTTGGACCAAGATTCCCCACTGCTGAGGCGGTCCAAGAAACCAAGCAATTGTGGGCCAAGACTTTGAAACGGCAGACTGTGGTCACTGTGGTCCGTTTTCGTTGGTAATATCTGTTAGACTAGTAGAACATTGTGGAACCAGACATTTTCGGGTACCTTATCTACCCTCATTTCAACCGATATTTTTTCGGTACCACAACGTGAAGGTACCGCCTTTGGATTCATCCCCCATTGGTTACCGAAGATCGGTACCACGTTCCTTCGCAGATGGAGCTTTTGATGTCGTGCTGAATGTCTCGGACTCAACGCAGCTCGGCTCAGCGCCAATGCGCCGGGGAATGGAAGGCTGGAGGATATCAGGCCACATGGCTGACCTGAGCAGAAACTGTATATGGGAGCATTGACACTTGCAAAAGAGGGTGGTGTAATGTCATTCTATTGCTGTTCTTGAAGTAGGTCACTGCTGTTATGACTGGGTTGACAATCACAATAGTTGGCCAATGTCATAGCAGCTTTTAGGATTATGGGAGCTTGTATGTAGACTGTCAGAAGAACAGGGTTTTCCAACCCTTTGAACAAATGAATTTTGCCATTCTACAATGGACGAACATTTGCTGTGATGATGGTGAGAAATAGCAAGCTGTGGTTTCATTTCTTGCTTGAATGATCTTGAATGTATATCACATATATCATTGATTTTGTATATCAAGGATCTTGTCTCGCCTTGCAGCGACTTGTATCCCAGGTTTGGTGTAGTGCAAGGGCTCCTGGGAAATCTTACCTACAAGGCCGGGTCAAATTGGTGACCGTTGTCCTCAGGACTGGGTACAAGATGGCTGCCTTTCCAAATCCACCAATACCAAGCTTTTTCGAAGCTTTTGGAATAATAAGGCTCCCAATTACTGACCATCATTTTTTGGGAAATATCAAACACGACCAGCAACCTGTGGCTCCGTTGGTACCAACCCATTGATGGTGACCTCCCCATTTTCCGCATCATTTCAGCGGCAGGTCCGAGTCCGTGCAGTGACCAGTTCAGGCGCGAGAAATGCCGCCATTGTTCTGCTGGCTTTCAACCTTTCCTGTTGTGCAATGGGGCATCCACAATGGTAAAGAATCCCAGTGACAGAGCCGTTTGGGCTGCGATTGAGAAATCATCCCCAATAAGACCCAAAGTTGGGATCGTTGACGATTACTGTGGTGATTAATCACTATTAATCACTATTAATCAGTATTAATCACTATTAATCAGTATTAATCACTATCAATCACTATTAATCACTATCAATCACTATTAATCACTACTAATCACTATTAATCACTATTAATGTCAAGATTCTTGCTGTGATTGCTAGCCGTATGCAGAAAAATCAGGCGCAGCAGTACCTTGATCCCAGGTGCTTGGTCTTATCCCAGCACCAGCGTGGAGGCAGTGGGGTACGAAGGACCTGGCTAGAATTAATTGGTCGAAACGCCAGTTTTTTCGGGAACACACCACATATTTGAAGAGTTTCCTCTGGATTCACCCTTAGCCCAATCCATTCAGTGGATATTCCATTTCAGGAGATAATTTTCTCGGCTTGAGGCTGTGGTTCTAAAATAATTTGGATAATCTGGGCAAAAGTACTGCTTGTACCAACAAGACAGTTACAGTAAAATGCGAAAAAAGCGGCATCCAACAAGTTCCGGCATCACCCATGGCATTCGGTTTTTTTTCGGATCTGCATCCAAGGAATCGCGAGCCGGGATAAGTTTAACACGAATGCCATGTCTAATTTTCATTGTGTACACCAACCATGATGATCAGTCGTAGCTGGTTTTTCACAGGATACTGATCCATTTTTATGGGGACATGCCATATACATGCCATATATTTGTCTCAAAATGGTGAACTGGAACAACATTCCAATGGTTTGAATCATCATTTTCGAAAAACCATAAATTGATGCGAAACGAAAACATCATATTGATGGTTGGGATTGTATCACTCAATTCCCCATAAAAATCATAAAATACTTGGTAAGACCCAGGACAAAAAAATCCGCATCATGTTTGGTAAACCCGCAGTGGATAACCCGGATAAACATGTATATCCCATTAATCTATCCTTTCATATCCCATTAATATCCCATTCATAACCAATAATTTCCATTAATTAACATTGATTGATATCCACTATTGTCCATGAATATTCATTGATATCCGTTCTCACTTCATCGATATCCATTCATATCGATGAATCACTTCATCGATATCCATTCATATCGATGAATTCAGAACCATTATATCCCATCATATCCGTTGATTTTATCCCATGGGAAATTATCCCAGTAGTTCATTTCATATAATATCAACTAAATATGAATATATCCATTGATGAATCAACTATATCCCATAGTCGTGAAGTTGAGAATTGATATCCTATAAGATTTTCATGATCCTTCCCAATGCAATGACTATTCATTAATATCCATTAACATCGACTACAGTAACATCCGTTGATATCCACTAATATCCACTAATATCCACTAATTTCCATTCATGATATCCCATAATATCCATGTTTCACTAGCACAGATTCTACAATATCCATGAATTAAGAACCATGATATCCCAATCATATCCATTAACATCCCAATAATATCCATGAATTAATATATATATATATATATATCCCCAGTTACCACTAACATCCCATGATGGGGATACCATCCACTAACATCCCATATATCCCAATAATATCCATTAACATCCCATAATATCCATTGGGAAGTGTTCATCCCCAGTTACCACTTCACCACTTCTGCAGCTCCAGGTGAGGACCAGCTTTCCAGTGGAACCCAGCCAAGTGCCGCAGCTGGATGTGTCGGCACTGGCGCCTCACACGGTGCCTTGGAGAGAGCCGTGGGGGAGTTGACCAATGGGGGATTTCACCTGGACAAATAGGGAGTTCACCAGGGAAAATGAGAAATTTTGGATCAAGAATTTTTGGTGATTTCAGATGGTCTTATCAACAAAATAAAGCACGGATTGAAGCAAAATGAATGCGGACTTAATTAATAGGAAATGCAGATTTAAGCAATAAGGAAGGGAGAGATCACACGATATTGCAACACAAGATCACAAAACCAAAGCAATCTGGCAACACTGACCAAATCAGTGGCTGGGAATATGAACCCCATTTGACGAATATGTTTGGTGTCTTCAACTTCCAGCCAGTCATCAGTTTCAGCAAATTGGTAGAGACTTGCAAGGTTTCTTCGAAACGATTTTGCACCATTCGTACGGTGGGGCACCACAAAACTAAACTCTACTTTTCCAAACATAAGTTGCTATGTCGGCCCTAACTTTGCCTCTGGGTGGATGTCGGGCATGCAAATAGTGTTCACATATGCCAACGGCTGCCAACCCACGCGGACAAGGCTACGGCTCAAACAGTTTTTGTCGTGCGCGCATTTCTTGGACTGGCCAATGGTCATTTTCCATATGGATAGGAGATATATAGGTCCAAAACTGGAAGCTCTAAGTAATCAACATTTCCTGCAGAAGATATACAGTCGTCTGATTGATTCTTGGTGTGTCTTCCGGTGGAAGAATCAGACAGAATCGCAGGAAAAGCTGCTATTTTGGGCTAAAGGCTATGGTTCTCCGTATATACCCTCTAGTAAACTAACATAACCATGGAAAGATCCACCATTTTATAGCTGGGTAAATCCACTATTTCAATGGCCATATTTTCAATCGCTTTTTTGACATAACCAGGCCGGGTATTTCCCTGGAATCCATCCGTTTGCGGCAAAGTCTCCACCAAGGCATTGGCCAATTGGACCCCGGTTGTGGATCTGGGTGGAAGCCCTCTGCAGGTCGGGATGACTTGGGTAGTCGTCAAGTCATTGAGGTACCCGACCTTTCTGGTGATTTTGGGTGACGCATTTGGGTGGTTGATAGGTATCAGTTATCGCGTGGTTTGTAGAAACAGATGTGTGGTCCACTGGGGAACCAGCATTCTTGCATGGTGCATGTAGCAACACATCTGCTAAAAATGATCATACAGAGAACAACTCGACTCCTTTGCTCGGTAGCTGCAAAAGATGGGAATCGAACCAACGAGCATGGCTGTGTGGCCAGTAAAGATGGGAGTAGATTTGGATGCTGACTGGGTGCTCCCGGGTGCTCCCTGAACCTTGCGCTTACACTTGAGTCTACAGCAGATACATGCCTTGATGCCACGAGTGTGCCTCAGGGCTACGAGGTGGTGGTGAAAGAGGGAGAGACTGTGACCACGGTGATCCAGACGACAGAGGTGTTTTCAAACCTGGGGCCCTAACAAAAGGGGTCACACCTTCAAAATTGCTGGCATAGAATCTGGAAGTGATAGTTGTCTATTGAGGGTTCAGCTGGGATTCATCATTGTGACGTGGCAATGAAACGGCGAGGATGAACAGAAACGTTGCAGTGGGGTTGCAAGGAAATAATGAGCAAAGAAGGTGTGGAACAAAAAAAACAAATTCGTGGATTCGTGTTTATGATACCCTCTGGTGAACTAACATAGCAATGGAAAATCACCATTTTTAATGGGAAAATCCACTATTTCTATGGCCATTTTCAATAGCTTTTTGTATGTTCACCAGAGGGTATTCTTTTGGCGTTGCTCAAACATGAGCTCCAAAAGTGGGATACCTCTGGCCAACGTTCTGGCGTCCAGACTTCAAACACCATGTGGGGCCAAGGCACCAAATTGTTTGAACCAATCGTTCGTCATTGTGTTGTGACATTTATGTGATGTTGAACATGACGAAATGCTGGTAATCACAAAAAGATACAGAAAAAGATCTAATCAAATGGATGGATGAATCTTTTTGGACATTTTCTGCAAACAGTAGGGGTTTCCATCCATCCATCCATCCATCCCTCCCTCCATCCATCCATCCGTCTTTGCAACTCTTTTCCAAACATTTTGGGCTTTCCAAATGGATGGATGAAACACATATCTGCATCTTTTTGGGCTGCGAAAATACGCAGGGTGCTTGTTATTTCAGGCCTCTGTGGAGATTACCCAGCTCATGGGGCTGCAAAACTACCAGCATCTTGGCGGCTCCACACGGAGACCTCAAGCGCAACAGATTCGATGCCTGTGCAAGTGAGGATTGTTTCAGGCCAATGTGACCAATGTGAAATCTAAGAGCCACTAGGGGGTACAGAGTCTACACCAGCATCACTGCATCACTATTCTAGCGGCCATCCTTTCTAGGGGCAATATTTCCCACTTGCAGTCTGGCTTTCTTATCCCGATTGCCTCCTCAGTCTGGGTGAGAGACTCAGCTGCCCAGATTCTTCGTCTACGCAGAAAATGGCATCGGCAGGCGGCCTGGCTGTGGTTTGGGAAGCTTGGAAAACAGGCCGTCCAAGAAGATAGAACAGTAGAACACCATTAGAATAGGGTGGAAAGAACTTTTCTCCCTTTTAAAAAGGTACCCTGTATGACTCTATACTTTGTACAGTCCAAAGACTCTTTCAAAAGGTAGTGGTTTTCAGTAGCTCACCCTCATCAATGATTTTTGATCAATTTCTTTCCAGGGATATAATGTATCAAACAAAGACAACGTTTTTTCTTGTGGCATTACTCGGCATTACCCTCTGGTAAATTAACATAGCTATGGAAAATCAGCATTGTTTATGGGAAAACTCACTATAAATGGCCATTTTCAATAGCTATGTAACAAATTACCAGAGGGTACTATTCAGAAAACACCACCGACCCCATCTCGGATTCCAAGATACGGCTGGAGGTCACCCAGCACCTCGGCGAACCTGACGATGCCCGAAGCTGAAGTGCCTGGTGTGCCGCAAGGCGCGGTTGGTGTTACTTCTGCGATGGACGTGTGGAGTGTCTCTGGAAAACAGTGGAGCCTTGGGAAATCTTTACCTTTGGTTTTTCCACAGCGTAGTGCTAAGCAATCCTATGCCGTTATGCCAAAGGTAATATCAAAGGAAATCAGTTCAGATGATTGATGATTTTGACTTGGGATTTCCAGTTCTTTTGGAAAAATCTCCACATTTTTTTCTGGTGAATGAGGCCCATATTTTTCATGGCGATGTCAAATTGTCCAAGGGAATGATGGGATTTAACTGTGCGATTCATCCGGTTTGGCGATGTCCCGTTGCCGGGATCGGGCATTGATTTTGTGGCTGATCGGGTCACTCTGGTCCCCCACATTGCAAGTGCTGGCAGCGAACCCTTATGTTTTGGAGTGTGTCATTTTTAAAGGAGCATCTCAAGTGTTGGACTAATATGCATGTCAACATCATTGAACATCTATACTTGCATCAACTTACATGGCAATTTGGTTCGTGATACCATGTTGTCGCAATATCATGCAGTGTGCCGTGTCACATGAAGCAACCAGCTGCAGCCCCAGCCTGGGACGTCACGAGGCCTGCAAGTGAGCAACGCCAGCTTCGAGTGGGCAGCGCCGCAGCACGATGGTGGCGCAGCTTTATGGGGCTTCGAGGTGGCTCCACGGTCGACCCAGCAACATATGTGGCTTGGTCACTCTGGGATATTTTATGAAGGAAAAACTGCAGGAATGATCTAGCTGAATATCTGGGGTCGAGCTATCAGATACATTTTTTCATGAACTTGGATGATGTATGGACATGTTGCTTCCAGTCGGGCCAGCGCGTAGGTCTGGGCTCAAGTGGATGAGGACAACTGGACGATGCAGGAGCTGTGCTTTAGGCACAACACTGGAGAGATGACCAGGAAAATGGATGAAAATGATGTTTGATGGTACCCTCTGCTAAACTGACATAACTATGGAAAATCACCATTTATAGATATTTATAGTGAATTTTCCCATTAAAAATGGTGGATCTTTCCATAGTTGTGTTAGTTTACCAGAGGGTACGAATGGAAATCAGGCTTTTGAAACATTGGAGCACCCGGAACAATCCACATGTTGATTTGGGGAAGCTTAAAAATGGCCACAACCGAGGGCTGAAGATAATCTTCCATATCTCAAGCTCAGGGGATGCAATGGTTGGCGGAAACAACGGTTGATATCCAAAAATAGATCATCTAGCCGTCAATAATTGCATGTTCTCACTGAGCTGTGTTTGCTTACTGGAAGTTTTTCCATAATATTCTAAACTATTAAAATAAAATAATAATGTATATATATAATATGTATGTATACAGTATGTATACATATCCGAAAGAGTATATATATATGATATATTTATATATATATATGATATATTTATATATATATGATATATTTATATATGTGTCTATACATATACATATACATATACATATACATATGCATATACATATACATATACATATACATGTGTATATGTATATGTATATATATAGGTATATATATATAGGTATATATATATACATATCCGAAAGAGTATATACTGTATATATATACACACACATTTTAAATATACGATATCATACATATTTTTTTCTTACGATGCTGATGTGAGGAGATGACCAACGAGACCAGGATCAACCTGACAGACCTCATTGGTGATACATCCTACAGGCTCGGTGGTGTGGCAATGGGAATTCCCTATTTTGATGATAGGAAAATCATCTAGATATAAGTTTTTTTGTTTTTTCCAGCTCATTTTGAATACCTGGCATGTGGGTTGTAAGTTTGGGAAATGGGTATTCATCTGGTCTTACCAGAGTGATGGCTGCTGTCTTTTTGCCCTTCTTTTCTCATGGTCACATGCTTTTCGCGTGACTTGCTGACCCCGTGATCCCCCAACTCGCCAGGTACCAAGTGCGCGCAGTGAATCGGATTGGAGCAGGTGGGCTTTGGTGCTTTGGTCGGCCTTTTGGATGGCTGCAGCAATCGCTTAGCACCGAGGATTTTCCGCTGCCCGGCCCAGGCTCCTTCGCGGTGTCCGATGTGCTTCACACCGGCCCTTCTGTGCCTATGGCTCCCAGGTCGAACCGGCAGTGAGACAAGATATACCCTCTGGTTATGACCAACATAGCCATGGTATAGATGGCCCATAGAAATAGATGATCTTCCCAGCTATAAACCTCCATTTATTTTGGGGATTTTCCATGGCAATGTTAAGTAACCAGATGGTATCCATTCCACTCTCCCTATCATCAGGCTGTGGTAAATGTACCATTTGTGGATTTGAAAAGGGCAACAGCACGAGTAAAGTGGAATTCAGGCGTCAACCCTTTGCTAAACAAAGCGTTGGGAAATGTTCAGTTGAAGGGATTTTCAACACTACCTTGGGGTTGCGAAGACTTTAATATTGTGAAGTTTTTCTTGGGGCGCTTCACCACCCTTGTTGCAACACCAAATCATTGAGTGTCCCAGACGATAGCCGGAAAGATCATCGTTGCAGGGAGTTGACGCCTGTGGAAGTGGGACAATATCAGCTGCGACTGACGTGGTTGGCTCCTTTGAAGGAGCGGATTGGGATTCACAGGTGGTGGATAGGGTGAAACTGGGATGCCACATGGCCGCAGACTACTGAGTCACTGAGAAGTGATATGAATTGAATATATATATATATATGTATATATATACATATGAATTAACTGGGTTGTTAGATCTAGTTCATGTGACCAAATTTCTAGTTGGGAGAGTTTAGTTTAGTTTCACCCTTCTTCTTGCAATGAATTACGACCCCAATTATAGGCAAAATAGCATACAGTAGTAAACCTAGCTAGAAATCGAGCTATAAAATCCATAAATCAACCCATTAGTTGCCCAATAGACCCATGTACAACGGTAATTCCACTTCGACTGGGGACTCTGGTGGTCACAGCTGCCAACCACGGATCAGAAATATGAAAGGATGCTTGGGTGTACCCTCTGGTAATCTAACATGACAGTGGAAAGTCTACCCTCTGGTAAACTAACATAGCTATTGAACATGACCATTTCTAGTGGATTTACCCATTAAAAATGGTGGATCTTTCCATAGTTATGTAAACGTTTACCAGAGGGTATTTATTTGCAGATGATTTCCGACAAAAAACATGGCGGGAATTTCCAGTGCTGATAGAACTTGTGTCACCAAAAACTGCCAAAGTCGCTCGTGACGTGGCTTTCGCACAATGTTTGCTCGTGATGAATCTTCCAATTGAACATATCATTGCTGCCATTTTGGGGTTTGATTCAAAGGTTTTTTTCACTGGGGAATCCAGAATTGTCAAACCCGCGTGGGTCGTTGTCAAACATGGAGACCTTTTAGGCAATGTTTTATTTACTGATTGGTTTATTGGTGCTAAACGTGGGGAATGGATGGGTTGCTGGGGGTTGCTGGGGGTTGCTGGGATGATTATTACTAGTGATTATGGATCATTCCCGAAAATTCCCTGCTAAGCACCAGTAAGTTTATTGCTGTCTATTTGTATTCAGATCTCAAACCCTTGTCCAGAACCCTGTTTCAATGCCGGCCACCATTCTCAGCAATGCTGATGTTGCAAAACCCTTGGGGGTCAATCATTCGTAAGGGGTATACCAATGTCTATCATCTAATTATATTCAATGATCCCAAGAATATGTTCCAGATTTCTAGGCTTGAAAGCATTTACCCTTTAACATATTTTAACATAATTTAACATAATTTAACACAATCTCGATGATTTTACCCGTTGAACATGGCTTTCATCTGCTACTGTCAGGATGGCGGCGCTCCGATCTTCGCCTACCGGTGGGGAAGTCATTTTGTCGAACTTAAGATATGATAGCTGAGTTTGGAGTGATTCAAAGTTCATCGATGTTGTCTTTTTTGGTCTTTACGGAACATAGAACGCTCATGTCGTTTTCTGAACTTTGGAGCAGACTGAAGTGCTGCAGCGGTTTTTCCGTCTCATAACGCCATAGGGTACACCATTCGGATTGTGGGGACACAAACAGCAGCTTGATGCAAATTAAATAAATACAACCATTGGATTGCGGATCTCAAGTCATCCTAGAGAGGTTTACATACAGTAAAACTTCTGTCCGAATCGGACGATAGTACCGGGCATCTACCAACAGTGTAAATTGTGCGACGGAGGCAGGTTCGATGCCGATTTGTAGCTTTCATGTGCTTTCCATCAGCTAAATCATCAATTGGTTGCTTATACTAGTGTATTCTCATCCTGCTTGCATCTATCAGTTGCACTACATTTCCTGTTTCCGCTCCATTGCTGATTGCTTGCACACTACAAATATACCCTCTGGTAATTTAACATAGCTATTGAAAATGACCATTTATAGTGGATTTTCCCATTATCACAAATGGTGATTTTCAATAGCTATGTTAGTTTACCAGAGGGTATGTGAAAGAACGTCATATCTATCGTACTGTTTGACATGATATCGCATCGTCTCGTCTTGTGATCTTATGTTGACTTACTGAATTTATATAACGTCAAGTCACATCACATCATATAACATCATACCGTATCATACAATATCACATACATATTTTTCCATCAATATGATACCATATCACATAGATATCATATAACATCATATCACTACATTGTTGCTTGTATCATATTTTGTCCATTTCGCTAACATCTACCTGGACATTGGTGTTGCAGGATCTGGCAGCGCACTGGGACAGGTTCCCTTGTGCTTGCCCGGATGCCCAGCGGGACGCGTTCCCAGACGGTGATCTTGGCTGGTTGGTACCTTTTTGTTAGCTTCAAACAAACACCATATTTTTTCCATTTTTTCCCAGAAAGACATCTTCTGAATTGGAAAGGTGCACGAGATTGACATAGATTGACCACATCCGACCACAATCTCCAGCAAGGCCCATCTCAGCCATCGCCATTTCGCCACCTGCGCGCGCATAGGCGGTGAACAGCAGCGAGAGTAACGCCACAGAGGTCATCGTGGAGTCACTGCCGCTGGGATGTGGTGATGGCTACCCAATTCAGAAAGTCACGGGTTGGAAACCAAAATGCTGATGATTTTCATAAGTTGTTTTTTTTGTTTGATGATTTTCATAAGTTGTTTTTTTGTTTTCCAAACTTTAGCAAAACATATATAATAATATCATATATATATATACTAGTTTCAAAAGTATGAAAGCTGTATTGGAATTGGAAGATTTTTCAGATTACCTTGTGATTTTCTCAACTGTGGCTAGTCATGGCTAGCTGGAGGATTCCCCATTGTCTTTTTCATGATTTCCTCATTCAAATGCCCATTTAGGCCACCGTGTTTTCCCAGTTAGCCGTGAACGCCATGTCTGATTACCAGCCGGTAAAGAAAAATCATCCGAATCATCTTCCAAACTCATTTCTGTTGGGAGTTGCATTCTAGCATTCAAGGACGTAGATTTATGACGCAAAATGCTTCATTTTACTGAAAACCGGCAAATCATAATAATAAAATAATAATAATAAAATAAAATAGTAATAATAATAAACAATAAAAAACATAATGATAATAATAATAATACAAATAATAGTAAAAAATAATAGTAATAAAACAAACCAAAAAACAAACCCATGTTGTTTTTTTTCATAATGTTATATAATTGTTTTCCATTGTCCAATGAATGAAGGTCTCTCGACGTCATAAATGTAGATGTGACTATGTTGCAACAAAACTTGGCGACATAGACTCGAGCCTCAATACTGAGCTATAAAGATGGGGGTGTCACCACCAATGCTGGCCGTATCATTAGCGTTCATGTGGTTGGTGTTTGCAACCCCCATGTCTTCAAGCCCATGCCGAGGACGAGGACTACGGCTTACAGCTTCGTGGTGGCAGGTGTGAACACTTTGGGAGTTGGTTCCCTCAGCGAAAAGAGCATGCAGGCAGGGCTTCACACTGACCATCAGTTTTGGCCATGGAGGATCCCTGGTGCTTTGCCCTTTTTGGATTCCCAGTTTTCAATCCAAATCCTGAGGGTGAACTCAGTTCACTTCAAGAACTTTCCCCATTTTGTCCCAAATTTCTCCTGTTCGCTGGCCGTCGCTGGCTGAACAAATTCCTCATGGCTTTTCCGCCGGCAGCGCCAGGTCTGGACCCTACCGGTGGCGCCTGCCGCAGTGGAGCAGCTGCAGCTGGAGCCATCGCCTTCCAGGCTGAACTTCACCTGGGAGGCACCGGACGATGGAGGCGTGCCGCCCGATATGGGCCCGATATGGCCCTGGGGGCCCAGGGCAGTCTGCCGCGATGTTTTTTGGGTTGAACGTGACGCACCAAAAATGGTGAATTCTGGTGAATGAAAAGATGGAAAAACCTGGAGAAGTGGCGAAGAAAAAGCATCAAAGCATCTGGAATTGATCAAAGATGGGGATTTTCACAAAAGAACATGGTGGTGTTTCGAAGACCAAAAGAAAGGTGTATTGAACCACAAGGAATGGTGAGTAAACATGAGTAAATCATCCAAAACGGGGAATTTTTATCATCAAAAGCAGGTCTTCGACCAGAAATGATGGATTCAACTGATTCAAACATCAATCACCAGCCTGAGGCTTAAAGTCCCGATGGATCTGCGCCCCGTGAAGCTATAAAATCATATAAATGCCCCAAAACCATTTGGGGGTCCAATTGGGGTCCAGTGGAAGCCATGGATCATCCTACCCAGCTTGATCTGCTGGGAGGCCTGCCCATTGACTTCTACACCATCGAGATGCACCTGGAAGACCTTGAAGACCTGGAATCTGGGCCCCCTGACGAATTTGGAGGTAGAATGCTGATGGCTAATATTTGCTGCTGCACGGCCACAAAAATAAAAGGTGGAATCGAATTTGGAAATCACACATGGAAATAGAACATTCCCCATTTATTGATGATGTTCCCATTAAAACATTGATTTCTAGGGGATTTCCATCTTAGATTTTAATCCATGAGCATTTTGTGTGTCATTGGATCGATCCTCCGGTTGCTTTGGTCCGCATATCCAACTGCTCTCAATGTGGCTTTCATCAAGAGAACACAGACCTTCGGCGCATTTTGTTGATGGAATGATATTCACAAACAAAAAACATGCTCCAAGGAAGCCTTGTCAAGGCAAGATCTAGGTGAGAGGCATCCATTAACAGGGGCTAATTTTCCATGCAGAACCATTTACGGGGGGATCATGGCACATGTTTGAATGTGTTTTTCAACGACCCCAAACCAAGTCTGCAGTGGATGATCTATTCTCTGTGGTGAAACCATCCACAATTTTGCAGACACACCTACTCATTTGCCACTTGTTGCTCTTCAATTCTGGTCTGGTGTCACATTCTTGTGACAGCCGGGGTACAAGAAGAGCAAAGATCAGCTTGGGCCTTGTGTAGCACCTAGGAATGTCCGTTTCCATTCCAAGGTGTATAGGGCGGCTTCAAACATCTGGGTGGTCATGGCAGCCATGTTCATCCCTTGAGATCCCCTGCTGGTCCCAGTTGCCGGCTGCTTCCCCTGGTGGGCATCCCAGGTTCTTCCTGGTGGGCAACCTGAGTTCCTCCGGCTGCCGCTGCTTCCAACTGACGGATTTGATGGCCAACCGAAGCTATCGGCTGCAGATCTTCGCTTGGAATGCGGTCGGCAGGCAGGGTTCATGGCCTTGGAACTGTTGACATTCATATCAGGGAAGAATGAAGAACCAAGAGTAAAGTGCAAAGTCCAAACTGCGGATGCATGAAGCCCTTATACATTATATACATATATGTGAATATTGTGATTTTTCCACACTTGTTCACACCGATGTCCTTGATGTGAGATGCCTGCAACTCCAGTATTCATGCTCCGTGGCTTCCCGATCAAGTCCATGGGAGGGTGTGGATGCGGACCGTTGGACGGTACATGGCTGAGTGATAAACACTTGCAGCAGCTGCGGAAAGACAGGGTCTTTGGCTGGTGAACCGGGTTCATCCTTTATTCAATTGGACAGGGTTCAATCTTCAACTGATTAGGGATCAGTACAATAATCATCATTGTTGATTCATCTTTCAGATCAACTGGGTTGATCCACTTTGACCTTTTGGTTGGACGTTGGCAAAGCTTCCAGTGTGTGAGGCCTTTGACCTTTCACACTGGTAGCGGAGCTACCAAGGCTCCAGTGTTGTACACTGCAAGAGTGTAGATCCAGGGAGGAGCCAAAGTTTTGTGTATCGCTGGAACATGCCTCCAGCAACCGCCGATGGAGAAAGCAGTGGTGGCCTGGGAGTTCCTCTTCCTGATGATGCAGATCTAGGAGGATCTCAGTTGAATGCCAACCCCCAACCTCCATGGCAAAGCATACCAAAATTCATTCCTGGCACCACCAACGTTCAGGAGTATGTGCAGAAGCTGAAGTTCCTGGCTGCAATGTGGCCGACAGAACACCTTCCCCAATTAGCTCCGAGAGCTGCCTTATTGGTGGAGGGTACCGCCTTCAAGAAAGTGGCGCGTCTGGATCCGAGCAAGCTCAAGGTGGCCAGTCAGTCTGGAATAGCCTTGCTGGTTGATGCAATAGGTGGTTCATGGGGCTCAACAGAACCCGAAGAACGCTATGAGTACTTTGAGCGTGCCTTGTATGGGACAGGACAACGACATGATGAGAGCCATGATTCCTTTCTAGCCAGGATGGAATCTAACTTCGTGGAATTACTGTCACGAGGCACCACGCTTGAAGAAGTCCAGGCGTACGTTTTGTTGCGCCAATCCACCTTGCCAGCAGAAGACAAAAAGAGAATCTTACTGGAACACGAGGGTGAACTTCGATACAAACCAGTGGTCAAGTCTTACAGGCTTTTGGGAAGTAAGTTTTTCAGTGAATTTCAATCTGGAAAGAGTTCAAACAAGACCAAGGTGTACGATGTCAACATGTCCGAGACTCCAGATTCGGAGACAACTGATGCTCATGATCGAGCTTTCCATGCCCATGCAGAAGATTTTGACCAAGATCTGGATTTTGAAGTGATTGAGGCCCTCGCGGCCCAAGAGGACGCTGACGCCTTGACCATATGTGCCTTTGAAAATGAACTGGAAGAGTTTATGCAAGAGACTCCCCAGATGCATGAAGCGATGGTGACCTACATGGAGGCCAGAGCTCGATTGCTGGAAAAGCGCAAGAACCGTGGTTTCTGGCCCGCCAAGGGACGTGGCAAGTCCTTCAAGGGTGGAAAGTCGAAGGGAAAGCGTTCCCGTGATCGTGAGCAACTCCTTGCTCGTATCTCAAGATCTCATTGCCGAAAATGCGGAGCTTTGGGACACTGGAAAGCAGAGTGTCCACAGAACAATGTGGACAAGTCTTCTGGTGTTGGTGCAACTGCCTCTGCAAATGTAGCCGTGAATGAGACCGAGCCCTATGCGGACGAGGTGTACTCTGAGACTGAGGAAACATGTGACCAGCAGGCTGGGATTCATAATGAAATCGCCATGATAAATGAAACATGTTTCATGGCCATGTCACAGGTAACAGATGAAGACCGACAGCGTCTGCAGTCCCGTATGTCCAGTTTTCTCCAATGTCGCCGATCTCGTCCTGATCCAGATTTGGGGTTAAGTAAACGGGGCATAAATAAGTGGAATCATAAAGGGGTTAAGCACCCGTTACAGCCTGCCTTACAAGATTTGCGTCCGAGGGTGCCAGAAAATCCAAAGATTTCCAACATGTTCAGCTACTCCACTGTGCCCAGGAATCCACCTGAAATCCTGATGCAGCCGTTAGTGACAGATGTCAACCAGGCCGAACCGATCGAAGAATCAGTTCTGATCAGTACCATGGATGCACGCTCCTCTCACGCCATTTTGGACACAGGAGCGAGTAGATGCATAATCGGTGAAAAGACGTTGCAAGCTCTGAAGGGTTGCCTTGCTGAAGACGTTCAAAGCAGGTTGAAAACCAGTCCAAGCAAAATCAAGTTCAGATTTGGAAATAATCAAACCTTGACCAGCACATACCGTGTTCATTTTCCACTGAAAGCACAAGACAATAGAACAGTTTGGCTGGCAGTTGAGGTAGTTGAAGGTGCAACTCCGTTCTTATTTTCCAAAAGAGCTTTCAAGTTGCTTGGAGGGTCGTTGGACACCACCACCGACTCCTGCTGCATGCACCGTTTGCACTCCGAAGCCATCCCTTTAGAAGTGAGCAGTACGGGGTTATATCTTATCAATATTGGTGACCTTTGTCAAGGGGATACAAATGTTCATGCCAGAGGTTCAGAAGCCTATGCTGGGGAACCATGTTCGGAAAAATTTCCAATGCATGCAGGGATACATGGGAAGAGCCTCCAGCGTGATGTACAGTTTTCATTTGGTCACCAAGCCGGAAAGCCTTTCCGGACAAAAAGTGTCACAACAGCCGTGTCAGACCCAAACCTGTCCAGCATTTTGCAGACCGTGCCAACTGAGACGCCTCACCATGCCGTCTTCCGTCATGCTTTTCAAGGCTGTTGTCGAAGCCTTGATCCAAGTGATGACCATGCTGCTCCAGATGTTGATTCAGCATCTCGAAGTGCAGACGGATCCACACGATCCGAACGAAGCACCTCTGGAAACAAGCCAGCAGATTCAGCTCATGATGGAGGAGCTTCACAGTCAAAAAGCCACTTTGGATCAAGTTCTGCAACAACGGAAGTCCGATCAAGCCTCACTGGGAAAGACCAAGACGGGTCAATCGAGTCAAGCTGCCCGCAGCAAGATTCCCATGACCGCAAGGACTCCTCAGGCCGGAGTTCAATCTGGAACTGGAAGCAATCGAAAGATGATGTCTCCCGGCACAAGTTCGACGCCAATGATGTGGTGTTTGGACGAGTCCGACGAGGACGTGCTGGTGGCCGAAGAGGAGCTAGAGATTGTGGAGACCACCACCACAACACAGATTCCTCGAATCTCAGTGGTGGAGCGTTCAGCAGTGGCTCACCCTCCTTTCGAGGACTGGGGAAAGCATGTGATCACATGGGGCAAGAAACACAAGGACAAGACCTTCGAACAGGTGATGATCATGGACGTGGGCTACTTCGAATGGTGCCAGAGACGTTACACAGCTCTGACACCCGAGATGAAGGAGTTTGTCAGATACGGCCAACTTCGTCTGACGCGCTTGGCGGCAGAGAGCTCAGCAGATTTGGCTTGAATGATTCAGATTTCCACAAAGAAATTCAACAAGTTCGTCAAGAGCTTCAGAAAACCAACAGTTCAGATGGTCAAGAAACACCAGCTCTGTTTGACAGTGTTTTGAAAGCGGAGTCCATTTTTGATCAACACATGTGTGAGCGACAAAAGTGTTCTCGGTTTTCCAAAGATCGCCTGTTTCTGCTGGAAATCTATGCAGAAAGCCACAGCCCTCTTACCGATGCGGTGAGTGATTTGGGCCTGCCAAGCCGTAGATTCACGAAGGCAGATGGAGATCTATCGACCATCTCAGGTCGTGCCAAACTCTGGAATTTAATTGAAGAATATCAGCCCGAACACATTTGGGTAGCCCCGGAATGTGGCCCATGGAGTGGATGGAATAGATTGAATCAAAGCAAAAGTTTGGACTTGTTTGATGGTATCCAGTTCAAACAGAACCAACAACTGCCTCACTTACAACTCTGCACAAGACTTTGCAAATACCAAGTCGCCAGAGACCGACACTTTCACATGGAACAGCCAAAGGGATCAGGAGCTTTGAAACAAGAAATCATCAAACCAATCTTCAAACATGCTTGCACTGCTTACTTTGACATGTGCCGCTTTGGTTTAAGACTTCCCAAAACCAACAGGTTTCTGAGAAAGAGCAGCGTTCTTGTCACCACCTCTCAGCCGATGTTTGAAACTTTAGATGGTCAAAGATGTCCACAGAACCATAGCCATCAGCGCATTGAGGGAAGTTTTCAACACGATGGAATGAGTACGAAGATGACCCATTTCTGCGCGTCTTACTGCCAGGGCTTTGCGAAGACTGTAGCCAAGTTTTTGTGCCAACTGAATCACAGTCACTGGAATTCTCAAGATGCCATGGTGCATGATTTGGATATCGATGAACCACCTGCCAAACGCATCCGTTTCAGTTTCAACATGTCCAAGCATAGAAAGACCGGTCATTCCATTGACCTTGACCCAGATCAGAGACAAGCTCCGAAACCCATGCCTGAAAACCCAGGTGAGACGTTGTCCAAAGAGGTTGGTAACAACATGAGTCCATGGTTTGATGTCCTTCAGCTGGCACAAAAGAATGCACCACGGGTAGGAAACACGCGATGTTCAGCAGATTCGGAGTTGTTTCTCATGGCCAAACCACTCCTGGATGACATGGTTTTGGAGAGTTTGTTTATTTGCAGAGGAACGGAACGATTTCAGGTTCCTGTTCAGGCTCCCGCTTCACATGCATGTCCTCTTAGACGTACTGTTTGTGTTCACCGACAAACCAATGAAGTTCATGACCTAGGAACCGAAGACTGGCATTGCATGACACGAGCCAAGAGGATACGGAACAGTTTACCAAGCAAGATCACGATCACCATGTTTGGGTCAAAGAAGACGGACGAATCTGCCCCTGTTGAACTTCCTGAGTCGAGCCGAGATGGCACAAACCTGGTCTCACGAACCGGGACACTGCCAAGTGATGAACGACCTTCAGCCATCCGAGTGAGTCACGAAAGTCAGTTGCCATCAAGCGTAACTGAGCGGACTCCGAATCAAGTATGTGAAGGTTGGGCACCTCCACCAATAGCCCTTCACGGACCCAAATTCAGATTACTGAGTGATGTTGAAAAGAGTGACTTGATAAAAGTACACAAGAACCTGGGTCATCCGGATCCTACACAGCTAGCTGCTCACCTTCAACAGTTAGGAGCTAATCCTAAAATAATTGAAGCTGCTCGAGAGTTCGTGTGTGATGCTTGTGTGGAGTCAAGTGCATTCCGACATCAACGTCCCGCACAGCTGCATGATGCTGCTGAGTTTAATGATACTGTTGGCATCGATGGCTTCTTTTGGACTGGGAGAGCCGGTTTTCAGGTCATGTTTTTTCACTGTATCGATGAGGCATCTTTATTTCACCTTGGTCGCCGTTTGGAGAACAGAAATTTAGAACATGTTATTCCGGCTCTATCAGACATGTGGCTATCATGGGCCGGCAGCCCTGCCAACTTGTACTCTGACCCAGCCGGTGAGTTTGTGTCTGACCAATGGCTCAGTTTCTTGCAGAGCCATAGTATTTCTCCAAAACTTTCCACTGAGTCTTGGCAGAAAGGCAGGGTGGAGCGACATGGTGCCCTAGTGAAAGAAATGCTCAAAAGATATGACATGGAGAAAACCATACAATCCGTCCAAGAGTTTGACACTGTTCTCAGAGCCTGCTTTCAAGCCAAAAATGCACTCAGTAGACACCGTGGCTATTCACCTGAACAGATTGTCCTAGGCAAAGCTACTCGCTTACCTGCCTCACTGTCCTCAGATGAAACACTCGGCTCCCACTGCATGGCCACTGGAGAAGACCTGGAGAGCGAAAGGTTTAGACAACAGCTAGAGATAAGAACACTTGCACGTAAAGCCTTCTTGACATCTGATAACAATGAAGCTATCAGAAGAGCCCTTCTCCGCAGATCATGTCCAGTTCGAGGTCCATTTGAGGCAGGTCAACAGGTGATGTACTGGAGAAAAATGAATAGAGCCAATAGACGAGAAGGGGGTCGCTGGCATGGCCCCGCACGAGTGGTAAGTCAACAAGGGTCTTCAACAAGATGGATTGCTCATGCTCACAGACTCCTGAAGTGCGCACCAGAAAGTCTCAGGCCTGCTTCACTGCGAGAATGGCATGGAAACATGGAACCGCTTTCACAGATGTTGCCACAAACTTCCGAAACCCAACAATCTTCACACCAACCACATGCTCAGTCTGAAATGCCAGAAACCATGGAATATTCACCGGGTACCCCAATAAGTAATTTACCTTCTCCACATAGCCACCACACAAGTATCCAACCAGAAAGTGAAGCGTTTCCTGAAGTACCTGAGCATGGGTCGCAACAGGCGACATCGGAACAATCCGACGGTGATACCGATCTGCCAGCCACGACTGAGGCTGAATTTCTGGAACCACCCAACACTTCCGCACAGGACCCACCAATTGATTTGGATGACATAGATGATGATCTTCTGTGTGAAAGGGTTCTCTGGTGTAGCGACGTTCCAGACCAAAATCCATATGATGAGCCTCTCCATGAATGGATGTGTTTCCAACCTGGGGATCAACAAAATGAGGTTTGTCTTGCCGATGATGACATGCCTATGATAGAAAATCCTCTCGAACCTAATGATGAACAATGTTACATGCTGGAGGTTCCTATGTCACGACAAGACCTCATGAAATGGTCCTGTGATACTCATCCTGAAGAAATGGCAGCCGTTGCAAGCGCTGGGAAGAGAGCACGTGCAGAAGTACAACTCAAAGATTTGACATCAGCTGACCGTCATCTTTTCGATGTTGCCAAAGACGCTGAACTCACATGCTGGCTTCAGACAAGTGTTCTTAAGCCCATACTCAGAAAGTCTTTGAACCCTGAGCAAATTTTGCGATCCCGCTGGGTGTTAACCTGGAAACCTGTTGAAGGACCAGGTGGCAATGTGCAGGGTCGTAAAGCCAAAGCTCGATTAGTAGTACTTGGATATATGGATCCCAGACTGACTGATGTAGCCAGAGATGCACCAACTTTGACCCGGGAGGGAAGACATACGATCCTGCAGCTTATTGCTTCCAAAAGATGGGTCTTATCCTCATTTGATATCAAGACAGCTTTCTTGAGGGGGCGTGCCGATGATGCAAACCCACTGGCAATGGAACCCCCAAAAGAATTAAGACAGAGACTTCAACTAGAGGATAATCAAGTTTGTTCATTGATTGGGAATGCTTATGGCCGTGTAGATGCTCCCCTACTTTTCTATAAAGAGCTGACACAGCAGCTTCAACGTCTTGGATTCAAGCCTCATCCTCTAGAACCTTGTGTGCACTACCTTGAAACAGTGGTAAATGGAAAAAGGATTCTACATGGTGTCTTGGGAACCCACGTAGACGATGGAGTATGTGGTGGTGATTCAATCTTTCATCAGAAAATTCAGGAACTTCAGACTCGTTTGCCTTTTGGTGCTTTTAAACAACGAAAGTTTACCTTTACCGGCATTTCCCTAGAGCAAACTCCAGATTTTGGCATCACTGCTTCACAGCAGGATTATATACATGGAATTCTCCCTATAGAAGTTGGTAAGCAGCGCAGAAGTTTTCCCGAACAAAGTGCAAGTGAAAATGAAAAGTCAGCTCTCCGAGGATTAATTGGAAGTGTCCAATATGCAGTGACCCATACGAGGCCTGACTTAGCGTCGAAGCTGGGGGAAATCCAAGTCCAGATTGCCCGACCAACCGTGAATACTTTACTGCTGGCGAATAAGCTCTTGAGAGAAGCCCAAGAAACCAGTGATACCAAGATCCATTTTCGGTCAATTCCTGTAGACAATGTTACTCACGTAGTATTTGGAGATGCCTCTTTTGCAAGTCCCAAACAACTTTCATCTTTTCAAGGAACCATTGTATTTGCAACGACCCCTGAACTTCAAGAAAACGTCACAGCGCCTATCTATCCTTTAACCTGGTCATCCAAGAAAATTGCAAGAGTGGTGAGATCAACTTTATCTGCAGAGGCTTTCTCAATGTCACGTGGAGTAGATAAGCTTAGCTGGATGCGCTTACTTTGGGGTTCATTAGTGATCGATGACTTCGACTGGCGTCAACCTCCAAAAGCTTTGAAGGAACTTCATCGTGCTATCATCGTCACGGATTGCAAATCCTTATTTGATTTGGTAACTCGAACGGCAATGCCATCATGTGAGGAGTATAGGACAACTTTGGAAGTCCTTCTTATCCGTGAACTATGTCATGAGAACTGCCATTTTAGGTGGATTCCTACAGCCTTACAACTTGCAGATCCACTGACCAAACCGATGGATCCCACGATTCTTCGTGTGGCACTCGCGGCTGGGAGTTTCCAACTGTTTGATGAGCAATCCAGCTTGCAGACGAATGCACATAGAAAACAAGCTATCTCATGGCTTCAAGGGCAGAAGAGGAACTCACATCAATAGAAAGTTTCGGGAGTGTGATTTTTCCACACTTGTTCACACCGATGTCCTTGATGTGAGATGCCTGCAACTCCAGTATTCATGCTCCGTGGCTTCCCGATCAAGTCCATGGGAGGGTGTGGATGCGGACCGTTGGACGGTACATGGCTGAGTGATAAACACTTGCAGCAGCTGCGGAAAGACAGGGTCTTTGGCTGGTGAACCGGGTTCATCCTTTATTCAATTGGACAGGGTTCAATCTTCAACTGATTAGGGATCAGTACAATATTCATCATTGTTGATTCATCTTTCAGATCAACTGGGTTGATCCACTTTGACCTTTTGGTTGGACGTTGGCAAAGCTTCCAGTGTGTGAGGCTTTTGACCTTTCACAAATATAATATATATATATATATATGTATCTGTTCATGTCATATTGATAGCGATATCATTAGATGATCACCTACATACCCCCCTTCTCCGGTTCTTTTTCCCCAGGTCACCAGAGGCCCCAAAGACGCTGCAGACCTCCGAGCCAGACGTGCCCAGCGCGGTGCAGCAGCTCGTGGCGGCCTGGCCAAGTCTTACATGGGGCTTGGGGGGGATTGGGCTTTAGAGTTGGTCACTATGATAGTAATAATAAGAATACTAATAGTAATAACAATAATAGTAACAACAATAGTAATAATGATAATACCAATTATGATGATCACAAGGATATAATCATACACACACACACATATATATATGGGCCTAAAAAACCAAACGTGTCCTGATTTTTTTTTACCAACACCTTTGATGATCCTTGCCTTCCATGACTTCAAAGAACTGGATCCCCAGTGGTCACCATCGTTGTTTCAATACCAAGTCATGGTACAAGGAACACATATCGAAGTATATTGAAGTATATTGACACATATATCCCATGCTCAGAGGATGGGGCCCCCAAGATAGCGTTCAGTTGCCTGAAAATTCAGTGGCTTTATGGTAGATATAACGAACTAGTTATAATGGGGTTATTTCATGGTTTATGTCCACCCACTTATAACTGGGGGGGCCCCATCCTGCAATGATAGGCAAATTTGAAATATAGTTGAACTTTAGAACTTTTGGTATCTTTGGTCCGGCACCTTCTTCCCTGTGCGAGCCATCACCCTTTGAGGTCGTCATGGGCAACTACTCCGCAGACTTGGCGTGGCAGCCACCGGCGGAGACGGGCGGCCTTAGTGGTCTCTACTATGAGGCGGGGGATGCCAGGGAAATGGTGGGCGATGTCGGCGAAATCATCCGGACATTCCATGGGAATTATGGGAAAATTTTGCAGAAGATGGGACATGAAATTCCATGGGATCATTATAATACTGGGAATCCTATCAACCAACCAGTGTGACAGAGGGCTTTGCGTTGCTCACTTGAGATAATTTTGGGGGCAGACGTTAGGTTGTGAAGAAGCGATGCCCGGCATGGCATTTTTCTCATGATACCGCTCGGTTCCCTTGATGTCTAGGTTTTGTCTGAAAAGAAGGTACTATTCCATCCCATGATTGAGAAAATGAGTGACCTTATTGAAATATGGCAATTCTTGGGGACCATTCCTAAGCTAAAAAACCCAACACCAAACATCATTTTGTCGTATTTTTGGTTTGGGGATAACCCTGTTTAAAGAAACGCCACTACCTACTCCAGCGACGCAACATTGGTCTGCGACTATCTAGGTGACGGCCATAGCAGATCACCAGCTGGTGGGGCGTCCTGGGTATGGCTTGGGCTGGTGCCAAAGATCAAAATGGCTGGAATCTGGAACGGGTTAATTCCTAAAAACGTGGATATATCGGGAAGGTATTGCTTACTAAGTTGCGTTTCCGGCTTTTATACAACTTTTCATTTTCTTCGCTGAACAGTCCAGCGCACAAAAAATGGTGTGGTTGAGAAAGATCCCAATATGAGGACCATTCTGGCAATGGTACTGCGTTGTGCACTACGGGGTGCCAGGGATTTCAAAGGGCACCTGCGACAGCTGCCAGGTTCAAACCACCACGGAGACCTTTGTCACCATAGAGACATTGTTTGGCAGCCGTGTGTGGGTCCAAGAGTCCAAGAGAGCTTGGAGCAGATGGTCAAGATGTGGGTCTCCTCTGGTGTTTATTGCGTTCTATAAATTTTGCGGGCAAACCCGGTATCCCATCTGAAACCGGACACTTGCCTGCAAGGGATATGCCGATATGCCTGGAATGTCCCAGGCCTACAACGTCTCGGTTGTCGCCTGCAACACTTTGGGTTGCGGTGCTGCATCCACCATCTCCAACCTACAGACAGCGGCCGCCGAGGAGCAAAGGGGGTAGGTGATGATAGTTGCGATCTTTGAATTCTGATGGCGGTCGGGGGTGAAGGGAACATATGCAGGACTTCATGGTTTTAAGTTGTTTCAACATGTTTCAACTATCCAGCAAAACGTAGGGTTTTCCTGCAGATCTTCGCTTCATCCAATTCTGGGCGATGGGGTATCCGGTATCCTGGGCTAACCATCTGTTTTTCGTTGCTTGACTATTGGTAAAACAACATCCGACATAAAGTCTTATCGTGACCAAACATGTTGAGGGCAGGAATCCAACAAAGGCTCTAAGCGTTGCAGAAACAAAAATCCTTTGGACACATGGTCCAGTTGTGACTGCGAACCTTTTTCCAGTACACCAGAGGTAGCCAAGTAGCAGTTTGCTGGGTTTTTCTCACGGCAAATTCGATGATTTCCTTTGGCCAGGATCAAGCCCTTTTAGCCGGACAAGCGGCCTCAGTAGCTGCTATTGCAGCAGGCCTCACAGCAGAACAGGCTGCACAAGCAGCAGGTGCAGCAGCAGCCAGCACTGCACAAAATGTAGGTTTGTCGCCTGAGTTGCAAACCAGCTTGGCAGCAACCGCAGCCGCACAAGCTGCGAACGTGAACCAACTAAGTGCACAGAAGCAAGCAGAACTGGCAGGAGAAGCAGCTGCATCAGCTGCATCAGCAGGAGCACTAGCAGTAGCAAACATGAGCATGACCGAACTTGCATCGGCAGCAGGTTCGGCTGTTTTGTTTGTGGGACGCCAAGCTGGACTCACACCTGAGGAACTTGCAGTGTTGGCCGCCCAATCTGCTACAGCAGTGCTCCAGCAACACTACAATGCTTCTGTGTCGCAGCAAGCGCAGGTAGCAAGCGCAGCAGTTGCTGTTGCATTGACAAATGCAAGCCTGACACCTGCAGAAGAAGCGCTGTTGACGGGTGCCTCTGTTTTAACAGCCTTGAGGAGTGGTTCTGGGTGTGATGCAGAGCTGGTAGCACACGCAGGTGAAGCTGCCCAATCTGTTGCAAGCAGGACAAGCATGAACGTGAGTGACCAAGCAGCCACATCAGGACAAGCCGCAGCACAAGCAGCTGCAAACTGCAGCATGTCACCAGCCATGCAGGCACAACTAGCTGGAGCTGCTGCAGCCGCAGCAGGTGCAACTGCAAACCTTTCTAGCGACGAACAAACAGCCTTGGCCGGGCAAGCGGCTTCAGTAGCTGCTATTGCAGCAGGCCTCACAGCAGAACAGGCTGCACAAGCAGCAGGTGCAGCAGCAGCCAGCACTGCACAAAATGTAGGTTTGTCGCCTGAGTTGCAAACCAGCTTGGCAGCAACCGCAGCCGCACAAGCTGCGAACGTGAACCAACTAAGTGCACAGAAGCAAGCAGAACTGGCAGGAGAAGCAGCTGCATCAGCTGCATCAGCAGGAGCACTAGCAGTAGCAAACATGAGCATGACCGAACTTGCATCGGCAGCAGGTTCGGCTGTTTTGTTTGTGGGAAGCCAAGCTGGACTCACACCTGAGGAACTTGCAGTGTTGGCCGCCCAATCTGCTACAGCAGCGCTCCAGCAACACTACAATGCTTCTGTGTCGCAGCAAGCGCAGGTAGCAAGCGCGGCAGTTGCTGTTGCATTGACGAATGCAAGCCTGACACCTGCAGAAGAAGCGCTGTTGACGGGTGCCTCTGTTTTAACAGCCTTGAGGAGTGGTTCTGGGTGTGATGCAGAGCTGGTAGCACACGCAGGTGAAGCTGCTCAATCTGTTGCAAGTAGGACAAGCATGAACGTGAGTGACCAAGCAGCCACATCAGGACAAGCCGCAGCACAAGCAGCTGCAAACTGCAGCATGTCACCAGCCATGCAGGCACAACTAGCTGGAGCTGCTGCAGCCGCAGCAGGTGCAACTGCAAACCTTTCTAGCGACGAACAAACAGCCTTGGCCGGGCAAGCGGCCTCAGTAGCTGCTATTGCAGCAGGCCTCACAGCAGAACAGGCTGCACAAGCAGCAGGTGCAGCAGCAGCCAGCACTGCACAAAATGTAGGTTTGTCGCCTGAGTTGCAAACCAGCTTGGCAGCAACCGCAGCCGCACAAGCTGCGAACGTGAACCAGCTAAGTGCACAGAAGCAAGCAGAACTGGCAGGAGAAGCAGCTGCATCAGCAGGAGCACTAGCAAACATGAGCATGACCGAACTTGCATCGGCAGCAGGTTCGGCTGTTTTGTTTGTGGGAAGCCAAGCTGGACTCACACCTGAGGAACTTGCAGTGTTGGCCGCCCAATGTGCTACAGCAGTGCTCCAGCAGCACTACAATGCTTCTGTGTCACAGCAAGTGCAGGCAGCAAGCGCGGCAGTTGCTGTTGCATTGACGAATGCAAGCCTGACACCTGCAGAAGAAGCGCTGTTGACGGGTGCCTCTGTTTTAACAGCCTTGAGGAGTGGTTCTGGGTGTGATGCAGAGCTGGTAGCACACGCAGGTGAAGCTGCTCAATCTGTTGCAAGTAGGACAAGCATGAACGTGAGTGACCAAGCAGCCACATCAGGACAAGCCGCAGCACAAGCAGCTGCAAACTGCAGCATGTCACCAGCCATGCAGGCACAACTAGCTGGAGCTGCTGCAGCCGCAGCAGGTGCAACTGCAAACCTTTCTAGCGAAGAACAAACAGCCTTGGCCGGGCACGCGGCTTCAGTAGCTGCTATTGCAGCAGGCCTCACAGCAGAACAGGCTGCACAAGCAGCAGGTGCAGCAGCAGCCAGCACTGCACAAAATGTAGGTTTGTCGCCTGAGTTGCAAACCAGCTTGGCAGCAACCGCAGCCGCACAAGCTGCGAACGTGAACCAACTGAGTGCACAGAAGCAAGCAGAACTGGCAGGAGAAGCAGCTGCATCAGCAGGAGCACTAGCAAACATGAGCATGACCGAACTTGCATCGGCAGCAGGTTCGGCTGTTTTGTTTGTGGGAAGCCAAGCTGGACTCACACCTGAGGAACTTGCAGTGTTGGCCGCCCAATCTGCTACAGCAGTGCTCCAGCACCACTACAATGCTTCTTTGTCGCAGCAAGCGCAGGTAGCAAGCGCGGCAGTTGCTGTTGCATTGACAAATGCAAGCCTGACACCTGCAGAAGAAGCGCTGTTGACGGGTGCCTCTGTTTTAACAGCCTTGAGGAGTGGTTCTGGGTGTGATGCAGAGCTGGTAGCACACGCAGGTGAAGCTGCTCAATCTGTTGCAAGTAGGACAAGCATGAACGTGAGTGACCAAGCAGCCACATCAGGACAAGCCGCAGCACAAGCAGCGGCAAACTGCAGCATGTCACCAGCCATGCAGGCACAACTAGCTGGAGCTGCTGCAGCCGCAGCAGGTGCAACTGCAAACCTTTCTAGCGAAGAACAAACAGCCTTGGCCGGGCACGCGGCTTCAGTAGCTGCTATTGCAGCAGGCCTCACAGCAGAACAGGCTGCACAAGCAGCAGGTGCAGCAGCAGCCAGCACTGCACAAAATGTAGGTTTGTCGCCTGAGTTGCAAACCAGCTTGGCAGCAACAGCAGCCGCACAAGCTGCGAACGTGAACCAACTGAGTGCACAGAAGCAAGCAGAACTGGCAGGAGAAGCAGCTGCATCAGCAGGAGCACTAGCAAACATGAGCATGAGGGAACTTGCATCGGCAGCAGGTTCGGCTGTTTTGTTTGTGGGAAGCCAAGCTGGACTCACACCTGAGGAACTTGCAGTGTTGGCCGCCCAATCTGCTACAGCAGTGCTCCAGCACCACTACAATGCTTCTTTGTCGCAGCAAGCGCAGGTAGCAAGCGCGGCAGTTGCTGTTGCATTGACAAATGCAAGCCTGACACCTGCAGAAGAAGCGCTGTTGACGGGTGCCTCTGTTTTAACAGCCTTGAGGAGTGGTTCTGGGTGTGATGCAGAGCTGGTAGCACACGCAGGTGAAGCTGCTCAATCTGTTGCAAGTAGGACAAGCATGAACGTGAGTGACCAAGCAGCCACATCAGGACAAGCCGCAGCACAAGCAGCTGCAAACTGCAGCATGTCACCAGCCATGCAGGCACAACTAGCTGGAGCTGCTGCAGCCGCAGCAGGTGCAACTGTAAACCTTTCTAGCGAAGAACAAACAGCCTTGGCCGGACAAGCGGCCTCAGTAGCTGCTATTGCAGCAGGCCTCACAGCAGAACAGGCTGCACAAGCAGCAGGTGCAGCAGCAGCCAGCACTGCACAAAATGTAGGTTTGTCGCCTGAGTTGCAAACCAGCTTGGCAGCAACCGCAGCCGCACAAGCTGCGAACGTGAACCAACTGAGTGCACAGAAGCAAGCAGAACTGGCAGGAGAAGCAGCTGCATCAGCAGGAGCACTAGCAAACATGAACGTGACGCAAATTGCGACGGTGGCTGCCAGTGCAGTTACTTGGATAATTTGAGTCTGTTCATAATATGTGCAGTTACTTCCAGTTTGTTCATAATATGTCCAGGTGGGTTTGGGGAGGCCTCATAGCATCAGCCCTGCCCAGGCTGAAAGTGTTGCCCTGGAGGCAGGCCTTTCTCCATCGCAGGCGTCGCAACTTTCAAGTGATGCCTTAGAGTTGGCTGAGGAGCGCCGCTTGGACGTGGCTGATGGGAATGGCAACTATGAGGTGGGCCTACAAGCCAGCTATAATCCCATCCCCCTATTTTTTTTTCACCACCTAAATGGTCCCAAATATATGCAAATCCCCTACTCAACTCTCGTTTGTGGGAGTTGTTTAATATTAGGGGGAATGGATTAATTATATATATAAAATATGTATATATACAGTATATATACATATATTAATACTACAATTGTGAGAACTGCAGGAAATTTGGACTAGCAAGTTACCAAGTGGGATTGATCTTGGAAGATCCTCCTCTTTGTCAGCAAGCCCTTTATCCAAGGTCACAGTCCGACAGTCCTTTCCTAAAGCCCATTGGGTTTCGACCAGCTAGTCGTCATGGTCGCGAATGACTTGGATGAATCACCATGGAAAAATCACCATTTTTATGGAAAATCACCATTTTTAATGGGAAAATCCACTATTTCTATGGCCATTTTCAATAGCAAACTGTTAAATTACCAGAGGGTATCCCCATGGATTGGAAACCTCGATGGACCCCGTGTTTGAATGAGTTTTTGGAAAAAAAATCTGCCCATGCAGATCTTTTGGATCAAGAACAGTTAGTACCTTGCTGACTGACAGTCAGCAACCCAACGGCCCCACAAAAAACGGCTGAGAGCCCAGGTGGCGCTAAAGGGTACATTTCGAGGTCCCAAAATTGTTTGGTTCAACATTAGACATGTTCAGATTACTTTCTTGGACGCTCTGGTTGCTGAACCATACCCACATTTGGGTAAAGCTTGGCTGGGTCGGTTCCTAAATGGTTTTGTAATCTTTGCCACACAGCAAAGATATAGAATTCCTGGTTGGTGCTTTGGAACATTTGGATTATTTTTCCCATCATATCGGGAATGTCATAATCCCAACTGACTCATATTTTCAGAGGGGTTGGTAGGTATACCACCAACCAGATTATTATTAACCATCATTAACCATCATCATTAACCATATATTAACCATATATTAACCATCATTAACCAGAGATTTCTGACTGAGGTCCCTAGCTGATCCCCAGTTTCCTTCCCAGCGCATTGAAGCTCCATATTTTTGCGCTCCGTTGATATCCCCTTCGCATCCAGGTGATCTAAACGATATGAGACCATCCAATTCTGTTGTTTTTTTAAAATGATTTTATGGCTTCATATTGGATAGTAACCCCCCGGTATATATATATATATAATAATATATAATATAGATAGATATATCTATCATCACCAGTGAACAGGCGTCTTGAACTCTGCTCATTTTTAGTTTGTTTTTCTGTATGTCAAGTTGGGGATTTTTTTCGTAAACTGGCCATGACATCCTCCAGGGTTTCCCCTGGAATTTCCCAAGGTGCGGATTGCCAATTGACCACCAGGGATGAGCTGCGCTGCCTTCACAGGTGCATGGCCCAGAGGTGCGATGCTGGGGATGGGTACCCTCTGGTTATGTCAAAATAGCTATGGAAAATCACTATTTTTAATGGGTAAATCCACTGTAAATGGTGATTTTCCACAGTTATGTTAGTTTACCAGAGGGTATCATTTTTATCATTTTGCACTGGAAGAGGTATTTTTTAAGGGACAACAAAAACTATTTCATACTATTACTATTACAGTTGAAACTCCAGATATGGTTGGTAACACCAGGCTTTCCTGTGGCTTTTCGTGGATTCTCCCTTAAGTCCCCAATCCATTGAAAAGCAATCAAACCTGAGGGATCGCTAGGTCCGCAGCGGAAAGAAATGGACAATGGACTGCAAAAACTGCGACAACGAATGTATAGATGCTGCAGAATCCTTCCAAAGCGACCTTTTGAAATAGGATCTTTGTTGGTGGCAAACAGGATTGAGAGTGCTGGCCATTTTCATGGCTTGAAGTGTTTGAAGTTTTCTCAGGCTGCTGATGACATTGGATACCTCCGATCTCTTGAGCTGCAGTGGCAGCTTTGACGAGACCCGAGTGGCGGACGAACTGGTTTTCCAGATGGATTTCGGGACAGGGTCCCCGGGTCCAAACAGGGTTGCTGGGGTGGCGCGCCTGGGGGCTTGACCTAGCCAGAACCGAGCATGCAACTCAGATTGATTGGACAATTCCCTTGTGTTCAGAAGGGTAGTTTAGCGTTTAAAGGCCTCAGAACCTGCCTTCATTAGCCTTGATTCATGTTGCGGTTCCTACATTGGTCGTTTCAACTGTTTCTTTCACCAGGTCATCCCATAGTTCTTATACGTAGCGCAAATTAATCAAAGAATCGGACCCCCCCAACTCTTGGCAGTTATTATCACATCAAATATCTGGGAAACGTAGTGCAACAACGTTAAGTTATGTTTATATATATATATATATAGCTGCCTATCATCTCGATTATGATAGGAGACTGCTGTGGTAACGTCCTCTGCACATTTTGCTGGGTCATTGTTTTTAGATTAATGATTAGACATCCAGTCTGCGCTGAGTTTCAAATCAGCACAATCCCCATGTTTGTTGGTGAAAACGCGCTTTTTTCTGCTTAAGCCATGATTTTGTTGCCCACAGTCGGCTGGTTAAAACCACGTTGCAAAGCATGTCAGAATCACCAATGCAAATCTAGATGCATAAACAAAGGCTTTATCAACTTCTTAAAGTCCACCATAATAATGAATCATCCATATACCACCCTTTTGTGATAAAATAGGGGAAGTAAACAATCCCCACAATCTTCTCTTCCAGGAGCCGCCCAGCCAACTTCGCCCAGCGCCTTCTACTGGCTTTGGGCGATCTCGCGCGCGGTGGAAACGTCGGGCTGGCAGGGCTGCGCAGCGGCTCCGTGCGCGTGGCGCTGGCGGTGTCAGGTGGGGAATGTCACTGGGTAGTGAGAACAAGTAGTAGGCTTGCTCCAACCCATTAAATGATAGCCACCAGGGTAAATTAGTCATTTTACTTCTATATTTATCTATATTTATCATTATATTTATCCAATTTACAACCCCTTGTGCCTGTGTTTGGAGCAAGCCTGATTTTTCGTGTTTGTAAAGCAACAGTAGACCATCCCCTATTTTATCACAAAATAAAGGGTGGTTTTTTCACCATCAAAATTTGGTGATTCATGAGTTAATGTGTTGTTCAAACCCGTGTTTGCTGATAATTCTAAGGAGTTATACTGGTTATACTAAGTCCAATATTAATTGCGGATACAATCCACGATCATTGGGATCTTTTACTAAACCCAGCCCATATATCGTCCACTTTTTAATGGGATCAATTCCAACCATGACCACCAGCGGTCCATCTTTGGGTTTTTTGGGCGAAATGCCAGGCACCGGGTCTGCAGAGGACTTCGCAGACCTGGAGGTGCCACGCCCCATTTTTTGCGGAGATCCGGATATAAGTTAATGCAATATATAATAATATATATATATATTATATACATATATACATATATATATATGTTATATCTAAATATGTATCTAAACAGGCTTATATATGCTTATATTATATATCATATATCTATCTAAATTTCAGCTAGATCTGCTGATGCCACCCCAGTTGCCACATTTTTTTCGACCAACAGACTACTTACATCACGAAGAGTTGCCCTTATTTGTAGATATTTGTAGACACACTTGACTTTTTATGTTCACAAATGGGTCGAGGGGCGGCCGCCAGTAACACCTGCAGACCTGTGTTCAAAGCCCATCCGAGGTGCTGCTTTCAGATGTCGACCAGTTGAAGACATTGGATTCGGATCTTTTCGCCACTGTCCAGGAATTCAAAGCTGCGCGAAGCATCTGGGTGTGTCTGGAAATGGGGTATACCCCAACCATGGCATTAATCATCAAGCTTTGGGGTACATTTTTAGACACAGCCATCTCAAACCAGGCGTGTCACCGGTTGATTGGTGCTGTGAACTTGAAGATTTGTTGGGCCCCCGAGCCGGCCACACAAGCTTGATCCACGATGTTGGAATGTTTATCTGTTGCAAAAAAGGCGCAATCCAGTCTCTTTCTTTGTGTACATTAAGAATGTGGCGCCCATGAAAGTAGGCAGTTTCATGTCCAAATCATCTAGATCATCTAGGCTTTGCTCCCAATCATCGCCATCCACCAGCCATCAGTTCATCCTCGCATAGGACACCACAACCACCTCAAGCACCGCCACCTCGACCCAAACGACTTCATCGGCTCTTGAAGACTCCACTTCGAGGTGTGGAACGAGGGTCTGAGGCTTGGCAACTGTGTGGAGGGATCAAAACCTATGAAATTACCATTGGGGGAATCACCGAATCACCAAATCACCATCCATTCAGCGATTTTAGGGTACCATCCGGGTGCCAGGCCCACAACGTCCACGTTGGCCGCCTCTTCTTCGACCTTGTTTGGGATGCCCAGTTCTATCCGTCCCCAGACCTTAAACCATTTGGAGGAACTACAAACCGTATCCCAAGGATGGAATTTATTGATGTAAAAGACTATTAAAACAAATGGTTAAAGATTATTCCATTATCCCAATAACTATTGCATCAATATACATTTTAATAGACTATGAAAACTTAGAGTGAATGTCCTAACAGATTTCAAACGCCACCCCGTACTGAGCAAGATGGCTGCAATAGAAACCAACCGCAAATTGAAGATTCCAAGCCGTCCATGAAACATATTTGAACTGCAGTGGCCCGCAAATGGAAATTCCATCAAAGTGAGCGTGCTTCAAAACTTCAAAACAGTACTGTAAATAATTCCCCCCCTTTTCCACACCATTTTCCACGATTTCTACAGCTCCGACACCCAAGGACGGTCAGCAGCGGCAACGTGACCAGCACCGGCCCTGCGACCTCGACCGTCGCCACATCCGAGATGACCACGTGGACGACGACGACGAGTGCAGATGAGGGCAACGAGAGCGACGGGAGCGACGGGAGCAATGAGAGCGATGCGTCGATTGGAGAGAATCGTTGGGGGAGTGACCTGGGCTTATCCCAAGGAAAAGTTGGCTCACCCGAGGGGTAGCTGGGGCTTATCCCAAGCACGGGTTAACACCAACTGGGCAACCAAGTAAGCCAGAAGTAAGAGGGAAAGCACTTGATTTGCCAATAAATAGCTGGGGGCGTACAATTAACAACCTCTAAATGGCGCAGGAAGAACTGCGTAAGAACCGGTCAAAAGCTGTGATGTATCGGGAGGATGAACCCTGAAGTTTTGGAAAACTGTCTGGGAACCCACATAGTTGTGGGCTGGGAAGTCCATCAAGGAAGCCTTTGCAAAAACCTGGCGGACAGCCCAACACATGTGTCTTAGGCTTCAGCTTGTCTATCATTCAGGTACCTATATTGCAAGATACCGAACTGGTACCATTTTTTCAACATTTTCCATCCAGGTGATCTCCATGGACCATTTGGAACATTTTCAGCTGGTTGGTGGTGACTGGAACATGACTGGATTATTTTTCCCATCATATTGGGAATGTCATACTTCCAACTGACTTTAAGTCCATGATTTTTCAGAGGGGTTGGTTGAAACCACCAACCAGTATGGTTCAAATTAACCATCATTAACCATATATTAACCACATATTAACCATATATTAACCAGAGATTTCTGACTGAGGTCCCTAGCTGATCCCCAGTTCCGCTTGGTGGATCTGCCCGATGATCCTAGAGGGCTGGGAGTTGAGGTGCCCCTCGGGTTTTTTTGGACGAAAAACACGTCGTGGATGACCGTTCTGTGGAACGTGAAAAAAATGGTGAACTTATAGGATGGACATGGATAGAATATGAACCATTTTTTATATTACATCCATATTGCCATGAATCTGCTGAATTCTATTTATCCATAGTGCCATTATTCCACCATGGGAATTAGCAATATGGAATATTTCACCATGATTTGTCATATTGCTAATTCCCATGGTGGAATAAATAGGATGGAATATGACAAATCATGGTGAATCATGGCAATTTTGCCCTTAGGTTTTCAAGGCCCACTGACTAACCGCTGACAACCTCCTTTTCAAGGCACTTCGCAAGCGTATCATATTTTGAGATCGTTTTCTCGTATTCTTCCGATCAAGGATCGATGGAAAGTGATGGTGATGATGATGATGATGATGGTGGTGGTGGTGGTGATGATGACGACGATTATCATTATTAGTACAACTATTTTTATTAGTATTATCATTATTGCGACTGTTGTTGTTACTATCAGTATTAATCTATTCTTGATACTGCTAGTATTATTGTTTTAACGCCAAATTGTTTGTCAGTGCCATCTCAAAATGGCCAACCGTTGTGCAGCACTCCAGATTCACGTGGTGCTGGCAGTGGGTGCTACTTTGCTGGTGACCTTCGCTGCTGTGATGCCGCTGGGTGGAGCAGATATCATAGGAATGTCATGGAATCTCACGGGGCTAAACTTGGAATACGTAGCGGAATAGAATGGGATCTCCTCTATTTTCTTGGGGATCACCCACACCAAGAATACGGGTGAATCTTTTCACCATCTCTTATTATTGGGGTTCACATGATCATTTGCTAGTTAAAATATGTTAAAATCTGGAACTATGTTTCCTGCAAGCATTTCCTTCAACTCACCTGGTGATATCTGGAGGGATGTCTCAAGATGGTTAAAACAAGAATCATTGAACCGTGACCGGTGGGGGTAAAGAACCAGGGATCTCTCGCAGTGACATCATCCAAAGTCCCATAGTTCCACAAACGCGAAACTCCAAGATTTCTGTTTTCGCGTTCGTATGGCTTTGACTGAAAATAGGATACCCTCTGGTAAACTAACAGTTCGCTATTGAAATGGCCATTTATAGTGGATTACCCATTAAAAACGGTGATTTTCTATAGTTATGTTAGTTTACCAGAGGGTATCCACAAATCCACTGGTTCATCACCATTTTCCCATGATTCCTCCACGAGTCTCCCATCATTTCCCGTGATTTTCCGTCTGATTTTTCCCATTCATATACCATCTTTATTGAAGGGTATAAATCGGTATACTGTAACCATATCCCATCATTTTTCTCAAAAATCACATGATTTCTTATACATCATATATATATAATATTATAATATTATATAAATATATAATATTATGTATAATATAATATATATATATATACGTGAATCATAGCCCATGATCATTTTCCCATAAAGCATGGGGCATTTTCCCATGATTTCAGACACATCCCCACAGACATCCCTACCGGGTAGATCTGGTGTCCCAGGTGGTGCTGCATGCGGAAGGCTCTGCGCTCCGTGGAGTCAGTGGATGACTTCGGAGGCGGGAGATGTGGTGGTTTTCCAATGGGTTTCCCTAGGAAAATGATCTACAAATGGATACAATGGTAGATTTTCAACATGGATACCAGAGGTTACCATGGATCTTTTGTCAATTTACTACATGGATCTAGGATCTACAAATGGTGGGTGTTCCACATCTAGCTTAGTTTACTTGAGGGTACCTGATGATGAACTTACAAAAAGTGAGGAGATAGCTAAACAAAACGGGGAAAACTATCCAAGATGATGAGAATTTGGCTTAGCAACACTATGGCTTTGACATGATTTGACTATATACACAATGGCGATGGACCATAGACAATGGGAGATGTGCTGACCATTGAGACGGTTTTCAGCGACCTTGTGAATCTTGGGGTAACGATTCATGGCCGAACACGAGATTCTGTATTTAGTGTACATTGTCCAACCATTGACAGGGTCCTGAAACACCTGTGGTCAAAATCGGGCACACGAAGAATCAGGGGTGAGTGCAAATAAAGTACGATTTGCATGGTGTTGCGCTTAGGAGTCTTAAATTAGCTCCTACCCGAATGGCGCGCATGAACTGGAATCAAGAGGTCCCTTGATTTTTCATGTTTTGATGTGTTTTTGTTGGTAATGTTTTTACTTGCCCAGGTTGATTATAAGTACCCAAGAAATTCAATAGTCGTACAACAACCCCCACTTTGACGGCAAATCTGTATGTAGATGGGGATATTATGGTGCATATTACTACTGACACGAAACCCATCAGTCAAACGATGGCCATTTCTTCGCACCTCACCATCACCATCAGCACCATGTTCTCGATCATGTTCGCGATGGTGTCTATCAACATCCTTGATATGAGAGTTTCCATGTTTTCATAAAAGGATGGTTTACACTGGAAAATCCTATTAAAAAATGGATGATTTGGGGCTACCCCCATTTCCGGAAATCTCCGAAAACGGTGCCCCCACGTTTTGAACCCCCCAGTGACAGCGCCAGGAATCCTGCCCACACCCAAGCCGACGGAGGCTTGGGCCGCACCCGAGACCCAGGCGACCGGGGGTATGGATCGAAATGGGGGTACCTGAGGCGTTGATAGTTCTGAGTTCTGACCCATAGCAGATTCCCATTGAAACTTACTAAACTTACTATACCACAAGAGGGTGGGAAGGCAGCTATGACAGGCTGCTCGGTATGACCATGACCCCTGGTGCCACCAACTTGGCAGGTGCCAGCAACGGATGTGGATGCACGGAGGCCATCAAAATGATTCAACCTGTTGACACAGTTGACACATTGAAAATTCCGCAGGGGGTTGGCCCGGGCTGGCTGGATCACGGCAGTTGCAGAAGTTGAAGATCCAGATTCGCCAGGTCATTTAGGAAGGAGGCAGATAACGATGCTGTGGATCTGCCCAGCATCGTGGTTGGGTGAGGGAGATGAAACGGTGACGTTCAGGATCTTGGAACATGTTTTTGTCGACATTTTTTTGGAAAATAACATTGGAGGTTTCTGATTTTGATTGTGTCCGTGATTTTATCATGAGTCGGTGGTGATGATGATGGGGAGGATCAAGATGATATGATGGATCACTGTGGATTTCTTCTTTTTGATGGATGTTTTTGCGCGCAAACTGGTTGAAAGCCATGAGAAACCCCGGGTTCCAGCTGGAAAGATTCTGAGCTTTATAGAGGTTTCCTCATCGTTGGTTTATATGATTTTTACTGTAATAGGGGGAATCATTCTAAACATGGCGGATTTCCAGTTTGACACTTACTATCTTTGCCCAGATGAATCATCAACAGAAACACAAGACTAGACTTAACTTACATATATATATATATATATTATTATATTATATTATATTATATATACTATACAGACTAGACATGAACATATAGAATCCATTGAATCCATTGATCCAGGCCTGGCCCGAAAACACGAGCACCAGCAAGGTGGGGTGATGGCCGATGGCATTTTTGTCAAAGTCATGTCATGTCATGCAACAATCAACCACCCATTTATTTAAATAAATACATGGTAAAATTAGGGATGGTTTACTATATATATTATATATATTATTATATATTGCTTATCTACTAACATTCAGATGTTATATAACATATCACAACCCCACCCTGTTCCTGGATTTCGCTCCTTCAAGGCTCGTTCCGAGGGCTGTGAAGCTGCTCCCAGCACACCACGGCGAGAACGAGCTGCTTGGTGAAGTGAGACGGCATGTAACCCATTGACCCAAATTTGCCCGACATGGGTGGCTAATAGTATGGTTGAATGGATTGTTTCCTCAAACAACGTTGCGAAATATTCGTACTCTACAAGTCACCGAATTGAGCCCAAGATTGGATCGGCAGCTTGTCACAGAATCGGTGAATCCATTCAGAATTGTGAAGTGAACCGACCAATTCCAAAGAAACTAATAACTTATTGGTGAACTGCTTTGACGATAAGCCTCCAACTGGGAAAGAAGAAACAATAAGCATGGGGAATTGTCAAAACCGAAATAGCAACACTTTTTTGGTCCATCGCACGACGATTTCGTTACGCCGCTGTGTTCTTGGTTCATGCCACTTTCGTGGAATCTTCCGCTAGGTTGGCATGGGCACTAATAGCCTCATCGCTTTGGAGGCGTGCAGGGAACTTTGAAGAGGTGGATCAAATCCACTCATCCATGACGCAGTTTGGAGAAACTGTCAGTTGTTCTTTGCTGGATGTTATTGCTAAATGGGTGTGGGTTCAAACTGGCTTCCCGCCAAAACTTTGCTAGTGACAAATTGCCGATGGACAAGTCGCAGGACGCACTGAAACTGCCGGTCTTCCAACATGGCACTGAAAAATATCTCCATTAATCATTAAAACTCACTCGTGACTTGTGAATGATTTTACTGCCAACAACATGGACTGTCCAGCCACCTTAGATTTGGATCGGGACATCAGAAATCATCAGAATCACTTCCTATAAATCCCCCTTTTTCAGAGTGACAGATATGGGCAGCGCTCAAAGTTATCCCCCTTAACGGCTGGAGCTCTCTAGGAAGCTGAGACCGCCTTAGCCACACCGGGCGATGGACCAGGTGGCTGGGGCTGGGGTGGTGTTGTGAGCCAAGGAAAAGAGGGGGGGCTACAACTTGGGAATCGGAAAATGGAGGATTGAGCCAACCAAAATCGGGATCTAAGAATCTCAGCAGTCAAATTAGGATTCAAACATCAGGATAAAGTTTTTTTTTTAGCAGCCCAAGTGGAGGTTGATTCAACATGATTCAACCAACAACGGGGGTTCCAACGAATCAGGCTGGGAAGGTGCTCCTGAAACGCCACGGCGAGAACGAGCTGCTTGGCAACAAAAAGGTGCCGTAGGAGATGACCGTAGGGGGATCGAAACAGCAGGAATATACAGTAATTGTTTGCTCATGGGGACTTTGCGGCATGTTTCAGATGATGTTCCTGTTTTGCTGCGGGATTGTTGTGGTGCACATGCAGTTTTCGGAGTCTAGTCAGCCAATAGAACCTGGAGATGTAGGCACCAACAACGATGGTATGTATGGACAACAGAAGTGGGGAATTCACAATAACAATCCGTATGAAGTTCTACCAAAGGTGAATGCCCCCAACAAGCATTTTTTTGAACATGTCGCAGTCATTTCTCTTCAGTCTATTGAAGTCTTGGGTTCCTGGTTTAGTGCATGATGTGTCTCACCCCAGGTTGGAATGGGCACCAATACCCTCGTAGCATTGGAGGCCGGGGTGCGTTTGGTGGGAGTTGGTGTGGCCTGGGATGATCAGATCACTAGAGCACCAAACCTCGCTTTCTGGAGATGTTGATTCTTAGGGGGGAAGTTATTGTGTGTACAGTACAGTACAGTACAGTACAGATCATATCGCATCACATCATATCATATCATATCATATCATATCACATCATATCACATATATATATATACACATATAAATATATGTACATATATACATATGTATATATATATATACACATCTATATTATGTATACACATGTATGCACATATAGGTCAACACATGCGTGATTACCGCACCAGTGCCATATCTCAGCAGGAAGCCGACAACTCCGAAGGCCAAGGTGGTTCCAGGGGCCGAGGTGTGATGGATGACAAACGACTGGGGGAAATCCTAGGGTATCAAATGATTCCCGAATTTATACCATACCAGGATATCATTGGCTATAAGGTAGTAATCCTGGATATATTATCAAATGATACCTGGAAATGGGTTATCAAATGATTTGTAACCAGGGTAATAAGGTAATTTATACCCGAATGATAGTGGGGTTTCCATACTGGGAAATCCTGGGTAATTTACTGTATAACCAACCGAAGTGGGGTTTCAACCTACCCACATAGAGATCAAACCACTGAGCATGGGATTTTAATCAAGACAAACAGGGATTCAACCAGCCCAAAGATCGATTTATGCAGTAACACATGCAAGATCTGAGTATGATACGGGTCACAATGAAGGATGTTCTGATATGGGATGGTTTGCCACAAAATATGGCCAGTCCATCTTTGGGTTTTCAGTGGTTTAGCTTCCGACAGGCTTCTTTATCAGGATGTATGCCGTCTTTAGCCCAAACACTTTCTTCCAGGGTGGTTAGAAGAAGAACCTCTTGAGTTATGAAGTGAAGAGGATCAAATTCAATGCCGACTGTTCCAAAGATTTCGTGAAAGTGCAACATTTTTGTGGTGATCACAACAGGGAGAAAACTGCTGACGAAGACTGTATCAAGAAGACTCAATCTTGATGATCTTCCTCAATTTCATGTAGCAGTGGGTCAAAATTGAAGATCCACAAAAGCTGAAACGCTTGATGAGTTTGACGATTCGTCATCCGATTTATTGTAGAGGTTTACCCAATGTTGACCCATCTCCATGTGCTATCCCGTGAAATCCCACATGACTTGGCTGAATCCATGAGACAAATCCTGCAGCATCGCCAGGGGTGACCTGCGTGGCGGCCACCCGGACATTGGCCCCTTGCTGAAGTTGTGGGGACACGGGAGAGCCCAAGGTGCCATGGACATGTTCAGCTACCCGGCGTCAGTGACGATCACACTGTACATATGGTATAAGACCAAGCATAAGTGGGGATCAATGGGAGATTGTTAGGAAACTAATGGGACGTATTTCATGGGATATATAAGATATATCATGATATATCATAAATCATACGACTGTGATATTTTGGGATGTCTCAAAATGGGCTATACTCCCCAGCCATAGGACAAATGATTAGTAACCAGTGGATGGCATGGGGTATCCTATTTTCAGATGGGGGAATCAAGGGGGTGAATTCTCTGCATTTGAAGCTTGGGGACATCGAAACCACAGGTTGTTTCGCGGGAAAAAGATGGTTTATCAGGCTTCGTGGCTCAAAGCAGTGATGAGATTGCAGCTGGTGATCCTTGCAGATTGCTTCATGCCGGAACAGCAACATGCTCGCCTTGTTCCGCAAGAGTTCTGTGGAGGCATATCCTCAATGGAATACTCTATGTTTGGCTCGCTCTGGCTTTGTGACTCTCAGCGGTTCGCAATTCAAGCACTTATGGGCTGATGTGGGGACCACGGCCAGTGCCTACAACGGGCATCCTTTGTCAAACCTGAACCCAACGAGGAGAGGCGCATTGTTTCAAGAGTGGGCTCGTGAGATGTTGCAAAGGACACATCCCAATTCCTGGATCGCAGATGCTGTGCCCGGCACTTGTGTCAATGGTAGGCAGAGAAGCAGAAATCAGGCCGAATATGATTTCATGATGAACCAGCAGAGGGTTGAGATAAAAGGCGGGCAATTGCATTTGGACAAGAAGAGTGACAAGTGGGGATTTCTTTTCAGTTCAGTGAAGTTCCCACACTTGACGCCGCATACTCAGGCGGCAAGTTTTGATCATTTGTACCTCGTGTTATTCAGCCCAAAGTGGCTGCACTTGGTCAAGCACGACATGTGCACAGGAATTTCGAAAGCTGGACAACTGACTCCAGTCTGTGGTCATCAAATACAAATACGTGGTGCTAGAAGTACCAACTGGGAGGATTCGCTTGAGTGTATTTTGGGCAAGCTCTGCGAACAAGGTGGTTGCTCCCTTGTGGGCAAGACCAGCATAGCGGATAGGTGGATTGCCAGCCTTTGCCAAAAGCATGTTGGCTTTGGCAATCATTTCTACTCAGAAAAACCATTCGCTTCCATCAGCCCTCAACTTCGTGGGTGCCGAGTAGAAAAGCTGGTGTTGGAAGTTGATCGGATGCTACATCATGAAAGCAATTTCTCATTGCCTTTCAACGAAAGGACATTGTGTGGAAGAAGACGCGGGCACAACTCGGCCTCAGTAGACTGGATCCGGGATGGGAAACGCATCGAAGTCAAACATGGAAAACTAGTGTTCTGCGATTTCCAGCAACACTGGCGTTGCACGTTTTATTCTGTCAAGTTGGACTCCTTTGAGGAGTTGTTGCTTGCCATTTACAGCCCCAGAGGCCTTGATGTTTTCAAACATGATGGTCTTTTCGGGTTGGCCTCTACAGGGAAATTAGCGGAAACTAGGGGCATTCACGTGAAGGTAAGTGCTCCTTCCGGGGAGCTGGACCCATTCGTTGCATTGCAACATATCCAGACAAAGCTGGAGTCCAATAACTGCCCGCGGATCGCCAGCATTTCATGGGATCGCTAGCTCCACTAGGCCTTGGCCCCTATGACTGAGGCAAAGAGCATGGGAAATGGATCTGCTTTGTTAACATTCAGTGCTACCACTAGAATTTGATGCTTCGTGGAACCCCGCCACAAGAGTCGATGGAGGTGTCGAAGCACCAAGTTGAGAGGTTTACAGGCTTTGAAGGCAAGGAACATTTTGCTTTGGTTTACTTTGATTGGCTGTTCAAGATCGAGCAGCAGACATTTTTACCCTCGCGGACAGATCTACATCGAGAAGAACATCGCTGCCTCTTGATAGTCCGCTGAATACCTTTGGGTCACGCCCAGACACAAAATGCCGAAGTTGTCGAGCACAGCAGGTGGCAAGACTCCATCTTCAGTCGCTCCCCTCCCAACTGTATGGATTTGAATGACCAGCTGGTGCATTTGAAGATCCAGGCTCTTCGCTTCGGCCCTGGAATCAATTTGTCAGCGAAAGTGCTCGAGCTGTGGCGCATGCCCGTCATGCGCATCATGTTCCAAGATCAGTGTTCCATGATTCGTCATGAAGCGAATTGGCAAACAATATAGTGACCCTGCAAAAGTAGATGGTCCTTGCATTCATGGAAAAATGATCTGGTTAGGATGCACCCTCAACCCGTATACGGTTTTGGTGTTTTGAACCTGGTTGATGTTCTGGACATTTGTGAGACCACCCTTAAAGATCGTGTTGTCCCGGCTTTTTCCTAGGTGGAAGTCGGGCTAAAACCCCACTTGTGACTGGCCACTGGCCTTGAATGCCTGAATCCAACCATCGATCCAAGGCAGAACCAGCAAAGACGGCTGAGGCATCGCGGTTCGGATATCGCCTGCACGCATTTCTGGGGTGTCATCGGACTGCAGAGCCTAGCAGGTGGTAGCAGAAACCCAGCTATAGGACAAGAAAGTTTTTTTTTGCCTTTTCCCAAAAGCATCTCCGATGCTTGGGTTCTCGTTTAGTTGCACTCGCCGCGGGGGAGCGAGACTGAGTGGTCGACGGAGATGTGTTGGATGGAAGGAAGGAAGGAAGGGAAGGAAGGAAAAGGAAGGAAGGAAGGAAAAGGAAGGAAAAGGAAGGAAAAGGAAGGAAAAGGAAGGAAAAGGAAGGAAGGAAAAGGAAGGAAGGAAAAGGAAGGAAGGAAAAGGAAGGAAGGAAGGGAAGGAAGAAGGAAAGGAAGGGAAGGAAAAGGAAGGAAGGAAAAGGAAGAACTGCGCTGGGAGGGAGCGAGACCGGATGCTCGACGGGATGAAGCCGTGGAAATAGCTTGGGGAAACTGCGCTGGGAGGGAGCGAGACCGGATGCTCGACGGGATGAAGCCGTGGAAATAGCTTGGGGAAACTGCGCTTGGAGGGAGCGAGACCGGATGCTCGATGGGATGAAGCCAAGGAAATAGCTTGGGAAAACTGCGCTGGGAGGGAGCGAGACCGGATGCTCGACGGGATGAAGCCGTGGAAATAGCTTGGGGAAATAGCTTGGGGAAACTTCGCTGGGAGGGAGCGAGACCGGATGCTCGACGGGATGAAGCCGTGGAAATAGCTTGGGGAAACTGCGCTGGAGCAAGACAGCTTGCGGAAAGCTTCGCTGGGAGGGAGCGAGACAGCATGCTGGACGGAGAGAAAACCGTGCAAATAGTTTGCGGAAAGCTTTGCTGGGAGGGAGCGAGACAGCATCCTGGACGGAGAGGAAACCGTGGAAATAGGTTAAGGAGAGCTTCGCTGGGAGGGAGCGAGACAGCATGCTGGACGGAGAGGAAACCGTGCAAATAGGTTGCGGAGAGCTTCGCCGGGAGGGAGCGAGATAGCATGCTGGACGGAGAGGAAACCGTGCAAATAGCTTGCGGAGAGCTTCGCTGGGCGGGAGCGAGACAGCGTGCTGGACGGAGAGGAAACCGTGCAAATAGGTTGCGGAGAGCGTCGCTGGGGGGGAGGGAGACAGCATGCTGGATGGACAGGAAACCGTGGAAATAGCTAGCGGAGAGCTTCGCTGGAAGGGAGCGAGACAGCGTGCTGGACGGAGAGGAAACCGTGGAAATAGCTTGCAGAGAGCCTTGCTGGGAGGGAGCGAGACAGCATGCTGGACGGGACAAAACCGTGGAAATAGCTTGCGGAGAGCTTCGCTGGAGGGAGCGAGACAACATGCTGGACGGATAGGAAACCTTGAAAATAGTTTGCGGCAGAGCTGTTGGCACGGTTTTTTTCAGGACAAATGCCATCATTGCGATTGGCTTGAAAAAATTGTGGACCCAAGACTGGTCAAATGGTCCCAAGACCGGTCAAACGGTTTGCAAAGGCTGAAAAATGGGACATGCACAGAGAAGCTTTTACACAAAAAAAGCCTTTACACAGAAACTTTGACACACAGACGCGTTTACAGAGACACAGAGGAGTCTTGACACAGAAGCCTTTACGCACAGAAGCTTTTTT